GCCTCCCCTCTTTCCCCACCCCATGCCCCCAATTCTGTGGCGCATCCAGATTGTGAAAATGTACAATAAATGTGTAATGAGTAATCAAGTGGTGTCTGTTCTAAGATCTTTTCTTAACCAGTTGGGGGAAGGGTATCATGGGATCTGCAGGTGTAACAGGAAGGGTGAGAACACGCATTGGGAGGGCCTGGGCTTCGCTGGAGGCCCTGACCTTGGACATCGCAAAATATGATTCCCAAAGTGGCCACAGGGGGCACCAGGAGTTGGTAATCGGAAATGTATGAAGCCCGGGGAAGCCCTGCGGTCGGGCGTCTCGGCTTCTCCCTCCCTTGCTTGGGACCTACTCTTGTTGGTGGACTCCGTTCTCGCCCAGGATTTAACTCCCGGACGCACTGCAGTCACCCCCGTGGGCGTCCACGTTAGGCCTGAAGTTCACAGCGCTTCCGTGAAGCATCTCTTCTCCTTTGTGCTTAGCAGGGCCACGGTCCAGAGGGGGTTAATCAATACTGCTGAGGGCCAGCGAGGCGCAGCGTTGGCTGTAAGTGGCCTGCTCCCCATGCACTCTGAGCTCTAATTTGTGACTCTAGACGCCACCCTGAACTGCCCCTGATGGGGCACCCAGCAGGTTTCAACAGTGGATAGAGTGCTAGGTGAGTTCTGGAGGGCCGCCTTCTCCGGACTGCAACATGAAGATTCAGCAGTACAGGAAACCCACGCTGTTTGACAAACCCGTTGGCTCCTAAGAGCTAAGGGTGCTATATGTTAAAAATAGACTTCCAGGGTTGCAGAGATGCAGCTGCTGGCAACACGCATTCCATATCAAAGTGCAGGTTAGAATGCTGCTCCACTTCCGCTTCCGATCCAGCCCGGGAAGGCAGCAAAAGATGGCCCAGCACTTGGGCCCCTGCAGCCACATGGGCGATCTGGCCCAGCTCTAGCCATTGAGGCTCTTTGGGGGGTGGGGGTGTGAACCAGCCGACGGAATCTCCCTCCTTGTTTCACTCTGCAGACCCGCGGACTCGGGCCGTCTTCCGCTGTTTTCCCAGGCCATTAGCAGGGAGCTGCATCCGAAGAGGAGCAGCCAGGACTCGAGCCGAGGCCCATATGAGGTGCCAGCGTCACCTTTACTCCCTACGCCACAACGCTGGCCCCTGAAATCTTTATTAAAATTAAAAAATATTTTCTCAGGACTCTCCCCGGAGATTGTTGGGCAGGTGATTCTTGTGATTACGAGGTTTCTCCACGTTTCTCGAGGGCTCACTATACGCCAGGGGTTTGCAGCTTAACTCCTGAGTCCCTTCCGGGTTTAGGTCCCCGCGGTTCTTAGGATTCGCCCTCTTCATGGTGTTAGGGACCCGAGTTCAGACGTTAGGCCCATTACTGACGTGTTAGTCCGGACAGATTATGTAACTTCTCTGGCTCGCACTCCTTTGTGGGGGTGGGGAGGTAGTAACAGAGCTGGCCTCGGAGTCCGCGAGACGAAACGACCAGGAGAGCGCTATCGTCTTCATCGCCCTCATCGTCACGCACGTTGAGATCTGAGGAGGGCCTCCGTCTCATACACCCTCCAGCTTCGGCGGCCTCACGGATCCAAGGCCGGAAGCAAAAGAGTCGTGGGCGCTCTCGTCACGCCCGGGTCTCCGCACAAAACGCCTCCACCTACGCCACCGCCGCTGCATCTGCGCCTGCGTGCAGGGCCCGCTCGCTGCGCCTGCGCACACTCAGCAGTCTGTGCTGTGTGTCGTCAAGGAAAATCCCCAGCTTCTGGGTAAACAAGTTGCCGCGTGAGGCCGCCGGCACGTGTCCCCTACATCTCCGAGACCTCTCAGCCTATGAAAAAGTTTGGAGAGCAGGACTGGCATTTGCGTCACGGCCCTAGGCAGGTCGAGGGTTGTCCCCACAGCCAATAAGAATTTCGGCAGTGGATGGGGGCGTATCTTCCGGCCAGGCTTCCAATCAACGCGCCGGGGTGGCCCCTCCCGCACGTGGAAGGATCACTGCCGGTTGGCACACTGACCAATGAGAAGAGGCCGGCGGCCGGAGGCGCCAATGGAGGCTGTGCGGGGGCCGAGCGGCTGCACGCGGCGCGGGGCATGGGTCGGTGCCTGTGAGCCAATGAGCTCGGGGGGCGTGGCAACCCGGCCAGTGGGCGGGTCGGGAGGAGCCTGTGGAGTCGCTAGGGTCCGTCCCAGTTGTGGAGAAATTTGGGTTTCTGCGTGCGCGCGGAGCGGTGAGTGCCCAGGGGTGGGGAAGAGATGAAGGGCGGTCGATACGGGCTTTTCCGGGTCGTTGTGTTGAGTTGGGGGAGGGACAGAATGGAGGGGAGGAGAGGAAGGAGGCAGCCTGCGAATGCGTGATCCTCGCAGCGAGAGCTCTGATGGCCGTGAGGAAGGGAGACCCAGAAGTCGGGGTAGGGGTGGGAGTTGCTGTCATCACATCCCTGTGCCTCTTAGGATGCCTGGACCCCTGAGTGCCCGGGGAGGGGCTCAAAAGCCCTCCATGATCTGAAAGAGCTGAAGCCCCTGCTCCCAGCGAGACTCCTGAGAGCTGACGGGGGTGTTCCAGCGCATGGCTGGCGTTTGGGGGCGCCTTAAGGACTGGAGGGAGGCAGAGCTCTGAGGCTGGAGACCCTGGCACCTTGGGAGGGTACTGCGGGGTTAGCATGGTGATTTGAGAAAGGGAGGTGCGATGACTTACTCTGGGTGTCTCTCCCAGACCATTCTTGGGAATAGAAGCAGGCCATTAGCAAATGTTGAGTTCTGAGAGGGAGGACAGGGTTGCGGGATGTGCAGTCTGGCTGTGTCCATGTCTTCCAGGGCCCCTGCAGGTGGGGAGGCATTAAGAGGGTGCTCTGGTGCAACCAACCAGGCCTGTTGGAAGTGGGTTCCTAGGAAATCACTGGAGCTTCTGGCTGCTAGAGTGATCCCAAGGACTTTGTGAGCTCGGGGAATGGGCTATTGCGATGAGAAGTGTGTGGGAGTGCACACAGAATGTCTCAAGATTGGGTCCCGGGCAGAGGAGGGGTTGGATGAGTCTGTGTTCCAGGCAGCAGACTTAGAATCTAAGCTGGGTACAAGAGGCCTAGGTTTGCTGGAATGCAGCTTAGAGGCCGGCTGAGACCTCCCAGGTTCCCCAAGGGTAAGACGCCAGAATGAGAAGCCATTGTTAGAGCTCGGATTTGAACTCTGCACTCCATTTGCTAACAGGCTCAGAGTAAGCCGGGAAGCAGACACTTTCGGCCGGTTCAGTGCCTCCTTGGCTTTAGTTGTTCCCACGGAATGGGGATAATAACACCCATCCATCTGGAAATTAAATCAGATAATGTATATAAAGTGCTTAGCACGATGCCTGGGTCATTTAAATAAAATGTAGCTTTAAAAAATTGGCTTTAGGGTGACAAAACAACAGTGGCAGGGTGTGCTGTGCCTGGGAACTGTGCGCGCATTCTCATGTTTTTCTGGAAGTTTTTGATGACTCCCCGTTTCCCTCTTCCTGGTCTGCAGGCACCAGCCCAGATTCCCTCATTCCTCCCTTCCATCCCTCTCCCAGCATCCAGGCCCCAGACTGGGCCACTGCTCTGTCCCAGTTTGATTTCCTCATCCTACACCCATTCTCTCTGCTGCCCCTCCTCCCTCGCTCGGTTTCTGCTGCCATAGGAACCAGAGATTCAGGCTCCGAAGGGGGCCTCCGGGAGGGAGCAAAGGTGCCTGTTCACTCGCAGAACCTGGGCCTCCGAGCTCCCCCGCCCCGGCTGCTGGGCACCGGGCCAGCCGATGTGTACAGTATGGGGAAGGGGGAAAGCCAGCGCCAGAAACTGCCGGGCACAAGCCAAAGGGCTGGCAGACGCCGAGTCCTGGACCGAGAGCCAGGCCTGGGGGCGGCGGCGGGGGACCCCTTCCTCCTAATCCTCTCTCCAGGAATCTCTGGCTTTGGGACAGGACGGCTGTCGTTAGGTTTGGGGGAGGCGCCCAAGCTGAGTGCATGTCCTGGGCCTCCAGCCAAGAGAACACGATGTTCCCAAGTGCGCTGGCCGCCGCCCTGTGGGACTGGCCGCCTCCCAAACCGCTGCCTCTCCAGCCTCTCCAACCTCCCTGCCCCACATTCCCCGGCCGTCTCGCCCCGCCCCCTTCCTCCGCTTTGACGTCACCGCGGGTCCCCGCCCCCGTCTCCCGCACTGACGGCAGCAGCGGGGCCCGGTTACTGTGGGGACCGTGAGGCCGAGCGGCCGGGGGCTGCCGGGGCGCCGGGCCCTTTGTGCAGAAAGAATACGGAGACGGAGGTGGAGATGGGAGCGATCGCACCTAAATCCCCGAGGAGCCCTGGGCGGGGAGGAGAGCCATGTTTCCGAGAAGAGGGGTCTGCGGCGAGACAGGCCTGGGGCCACAGTGTATGAGCGTGGGCCGGCACGCGCGTGTACATTTGTGTGTGTATTGGGGGGGAGGTGTCGCAGGTCATTTTTTAAGAAGTCTGTTTTCTGTCTCCCTGGTTCAGTTTTTCCAGGTTATTTTACAACACCCCACAGGGCCCTCCCCTCTGCTCCCCCCCCCCCCCCCGCGGGGAACATGATTGTTAAGGAAAGCTTAGACCACGTGACCGTGCTGGGGCTGCACCCACAGCTGATTATGTCAGCAGCTGCGTGGGGGCCTCCACTTGCTGCCCACATGTCCAGGGAGCCCTGGAAGGAAGGGCACCTCACAGCCCTGTTCTGTGCGACCACAGCCTCCTGGACCCAGAATGGCCCTTTGCCCCCCAAATCAGGCCCTCGTTCCCTTCCTAGGACTCCGTGTTCCGCTCCTCCTCTCTCTAGAAATTTCCCGTGGCTTCTTCACCACTGAGGCCCCTCGCCGTCTTTCCTTGCCATCCTTGTTGAAAACAGAATCATCACGTTTACCGACCACCTGCCATGTCCCGACCTGGGCTTCCTGGAATACGGTGAATGGGGGAGACGCGGCCTCTGCGGGGTTCCCGGCCCTCAGCCTTCTGTTTCCCAAGGGGTGGGCATCTGAAGCCCTTCCTACCCCACCTTTCTCTGCATAGGGCCCCAGCTGGCCGCCTCTCCCTCCTGCCCACTCTCTCCCTCTGTGCCCCTGGCTTCCTCTCGGGGCAGCCCTCGCCGTGGGCGGCTGCATCCTCCGGAGAGAAGCACTAGTGACTAATGAGGCTGCCTGGAGACCTTTGCCGTGATTGGCCACGGCAGCCCCTGCCATTGTTGCCCTTCGCAGCCCCTATTGGCTCCGGCTGCCCCGTCCATTGTCTGCCTCTTCCCACTGCCCACTCAGCCCAGTCACACGTGGGCCCTCAACTGCCATCCTCCGGGATTTTAAGTGTCAGAGGAAGGGGCTTCTTCACCTCAGATGACAAGGCTGGGGAGGGAAGCCCAGGAGAGGCCAAGCCAGGTTTGTCTGCCCCTCCTCTCGGTGCCTGGCATCTCATCCAGCTGGGGCCAGCTCCCCCACTCCCCCCCAAAAAGACCAAGGCATCCTATTCTGCAAATCTTGTCCGTTCAGGAAGTAGACATCTCTTTGAGCCCGGGCATCTTCTCTCAGAAGGGGGCGGTTGACCTCCCTCTTCTCTCTGCTATTATTCACTGTGCTGGGCGGTGTCCGGGGCCCTTCAGCCCAGCGCCAGCACCCAGGTCCACGTGCGCCCGTGTGTGTGACACAGCCCTGACCTCAGTGGGGGCCGGCAGCCAATCGGGCGCCGGGAAGAGATCCCCAGCCAATCGGGGGCGGGGCTTGCGGCTCCGCCGGCAGGAGGCCAATGAGGGGCAGCGCCTGGCATTATGCAACCCGCCTCCCCGCCCCGCGGAGCTTCCACTCGGCTGCGGGCTGGAACTGCAGCGGACAGGCGGCGGAGGGCCCTCGCCAGGCCAGGTAGGCACCTCCGCGCCCACCCTGGGGCCGGTCTCGGTCCCAGAGCCGGACTGCCTCCACTTCCTACACGATGGACCACTTGGAGCCCGGAAGCTCAGACGGCACACCAATAATCCACCGTCCCTGTCGCTGTCCACCCCCTTCTTGCCCCCAGGGACCTGGGTGCTCTTTGCAACCCTGCACCGGGCGTCCGCACTCCTGACCCGCTCATCTTACCTCCAGCTTCGCCCCACTCCGCCTCCCTACCTCCGGCCCCAGCCACCCTGGCCCCATAGCCGACCCTCAGCGAGCGTGCCCTGTTTCCTTTCTCGTTACTCGGGGGTCTGCGGGCTTGTCCTGACATCAGGACCCCTTCAGGCTCTCGGCGCTCCCTCCTCTTTCCGGGCCCTGGCCCCGCGCCGGCCGTGATGTCAGCCCGCTTCAGGCTGGAACATCCCGTTCCCGGCGCTAGTTCCTGTTGCTGGCCACAGCCTGCCTTTCTCCTGGCGCGTAGAAAATGCTTGAGGATGGGGGGGGTGTGGTTGGGCCGAGAGTGGGGTTAGAACTGTCCCCTGGCTGTTGTGCGACCCCTGCCCAGAGCTTCGGACGGGGAGTGTGGGGTAGGGAGAGGATTCCCAGGTCCTTGACGCTAGCAGGTGCCAGTTTCGGCCCTGGTGGTCGGCAAGGGGGCAGGAGCCGGAGAAAGGTGGGCTGTGTCGTCTCCGCCAGAATGACGGGGACCCAGGCGAGAGCCAGGCTGGGGGGCTTCTGCACGGAGGGCCGTGGTGGTTGTGTTTCATCCTGGGGCGGCCAGGACCAGCCCTGGAACCCAGAGAGGCGGCCCTTTTTCTTACGCCATCCCGCCGTCCAGACACTGGGGATATTTAGGGGTGGGCGACCCTCGGCCGCGCCCGCCCGCCCGTGTGGGAGAGGGTCGATCCCCCACTTCCGCTGGGAAATGGGGGAGGGGTCGCCCCTCCCGCCCTCCTGTGGTCCCTCCAGCAACCGCTGAGCTCAGTGGCTGACGTCGGTTTCCCTGGCGACCGCGGCGGCGGAAGCGCGTGGTGGGGCCGCGCACGTCGGCGCGCATGTGCGGCGGGGGTGGCACCGCCCCCGGATAAAATTAGCCCGGAAGCCTAAATATAGGCGGCGATCGGCTCACCCCCTGCTCTGTGGCCTCAGAGTCCCCGGCCGAGTTGGGGGGGCCCTGCTGGGAACTTGGGCATGGGAAGTGTCCAGGCCTTGGCCCACAGCCATAGTCCTGGTCGATTGCTCGGGCGGTACAAATTCGCGCCACGCTGGCAGAGGATGTGGGGGAAGGCCAAGGGAGCCCTCTTCCACCTGCTGCACTCCTACGGAGACACAAAACAGAACCTCCCTCAGCTGCATGTTAGAAGGCCTGGGCCTGGGCCCGGGGCCCGGGAGCATGGGAGCAGGAAGGGGAGGGTCTTGAGAAGCCGGCAGGTGCTGTGGGGTTAGCGTCCCAGCTTTCCCTAAAGCTCTCTTTCCTGATCTCGCTCTCCAGGTGCTGGCCGTGATCCAACTTCTCAACCCTCCGAAACATAGATCTCCCACCTCACTCCCTCGGACAGGCCTGCTGGCCGCCGGGTGCATCCGTAGTGGCCTCTCCGCCTTCTCTCTTCTCCTGTCCTCCCCATGGCCCAGACATGAGTGGCCCCCTAGAAGGGGCTGATGGGGGTGGGGACCCCAGACCCGGAGAATCCTTCTGTCCAGGCGGGGTCCCATCCCCAGGGCCCCCACAGCACCGGCCTCGGCCAGGCCCCAGCCTGGCCGATGACACCGATGCCAACAGCAATGGCTCCAGTGGCAATGAGTCCAATGGGCCTGAGTCCAGGGGTGCCTCTCAGCGGAGCTCACACAGCTCTTCCTCCGGCAATGGCAAGGACTCTGCCCTGCTGGAGACCACGGAGAGCAGCAAGAGGTAAGTGCGTGTGTGTGTGTTTTTCAAGGCCCAGAGGTGGTGTAAGTGAGCCCCATGCTGCTGGCCACAGGCCCCTCATCTTGGGTCTGTTGCTTCTCCCCTAGCACAAACTCTCAGAGCCCGTCCCCACCCAGCAGTTCCATCGCCTATAGCCTTCTGAGTGCCAGCTCAGAGCAGGACAACCCATCCACCAGCGGCTGCAGGTATGTGGGCTGAGGGCTGGGAGGGGGAAGGTGCGGGCTCCTGGGCCTCCTCCTGGGGCTCCCGTCTTCACCCTCTCCTTGTCGTGGGCCCTGCAGCAGTGAACAGTCAGCCCGGGCGAGAACGCAGAAGGAACTCATGACGGCGCTTCGGGAGCTGAAGCTTCGGCTGCCACCAGAGCGCCGGGGCAAGGGCCGCTCCGGCACGCTGGCCACGCTGCAGTACGCACTGGCCTGCGTGAAGCAGGTGCAGGGTGAGTGGTGCCCACCCGGAGGGAGTGGCCCAGGCCTGGGCTGCTGTGGGAGGGCAGCCCGTTTTTACCGATGGCCCCCCTGCAGCCAACCAGGAGTACTACCAGCAATGGAGCCTGGAAGAAGGCGAGCCGTGCGCCATGGACATGTCCACCTACACCCTGGAGGAGCTGGAGCACATCACGTCCGAGTACACGCTCCGCAACCAGGTCAGCCGCCGCCCGGCCCCTGCTCCCCAGCGCGCCCGACCCCCACCCCCCCCGCTCCCCAGCTCCTGAATCTGCTCTCGCCCGCCGACCAGGATACCTTCTCGGTGGCCGTCTCCTTCCTGACCGGCCGGATCGTGTACATCTCGGAGCAGGCGGCCATCCTGCTGCGTTGCAAGCGGGACGTGTTCCGAGGTGCCCGCTTCTCGGAGCTCCTGGCTCCCCAGGACGTGGGCGTTTTCTACGGTTCCACTGCCCCGTCTCGCCTGCCCACCTGGGGCACGGGAGCCTCGGCAGGTGAGGTGCTCCAGTGCTTGGGAGAGGGATGAGCGGTCCCAGAAGCCCCTGCTGTTTGAGGGGCCAGTGGACGCAAGCTCTACCCTGCTGGGCCCTTCTCGGCCCAGGGACGGGGCCAGGAGTGCCAGGAGCTGTGCTCACTGCCTGCCTTGTCCCAGGTTCAGGCCTCAAGGACTTCACCCAAGAGAAGTCTGTCTTCTGCCGTATCAGGTAGGTCGGCGTATGGGGAGTGGGAGGAGGCCACCCTCTCCCACCATCTCCTTGATTTCTTTGTCATGTGGGCCATGATCTTGAGGAGGGCTGGGTGGTTCCACACTGAAGGTCCCTAATGCTTCTCTCTCCCCGGCTAGAGGAGGTCCTGACCGGGACCCAGGGCCTCGGTACCAGCCATTCCGCCTGACTCCGTATGTGACCAAGATCCGGGTCTCAGACGGGGCCCCCGCCCAGCCGTGCTGCCTGCTCATCGCAGAACGCATTCACTCGGGCTATGAAGGTGGGCGGGCCTGGCTCAGGCTGGGAGGAGGACAGGGAGGCAGGAGCCAGGCCGGTAGGGTCTTGGAACAAGTCGAGCTGTCCTGAGGGTGAGGGTTGCAGCCCCCGGTAGAGGTAGAGCCCTTAGATAGTGGGGGGCAAAGAACGCCTTAGTTCTTTGATCCAAGGCACAAAGGATGGCCCAGGCCGTCTTTGCAGGCAGCCAGGCCCCAGGCAGGGCTATGGGGAGGCAGCGTGGAGGGCCGGGGAGCTGAACCCTTGCGGATGAAACTCCATGACTGCCTTCGCTGTGCCTCAGCTCCCCGAATCCCTCCTGACAAGAGGATCTTCACCACGCGGCACACACCCAGCTGCCTTTTCCAGGATGTGGACGAAAGGTGAGGTCCGGGCCCAGAGGCAGGGCAGGGGGTGGCCAGGGCGGAGGCCAGGGTCTCTCTGACTCCTCCTCTTGTTCAGGGCTGCTCCGTTGCTGGGCTATCTGCCCCAGGACCTCCTCGGGGCCCCAGTGCTCCTGTTCCTGCATCCCGAGGACCGACCCCTCATGCTGGCCATCCACAAGAAGAGTGAGCTCCTCTCATCATGCTCTCCCTTCCTGGCAGTCCCTGGGGCTTCCTAATAGCTGCCCTCACGGTTTTGTCTTTGGGTGTCATGGTCATCTGGGTCTCACCCCTCCCTCCCGCTGACCCCTCCTCGTTTCCCATACCAACACGCCTCACCCCCCCCCCCTTCCTGCCAATCAGTCCTACAGCTAGCGGGCCAGCCTTTTGACCACTCCCCTATCCGCTTCTGCGCCCGCAATGGGGAGTACGTCACCATGGACACCAGCTGGGCCGGCTTCGTGCACCCCTGGAGCCGCAAGGTGGCCTTTGTGTTGGGCCGCCACAAAGTACGCACGTAAGTGTGCTGTGCCTCCCGGCTGACACTGGGGGCAGGGCAGGGCTGGACGGGTCGGGCGGACCTGGGGCAGGGCAGGACTCACCCTCCCCTACCCTGCAGGGCACCCCTGAATGAGGACGTGTTCACGCCCCCTGCTCCCAGCCCGGCTCTGTCCCTGGACCCTGACATCCACGAGCTGTCTGAGCAGATCCACCGGCTGCTGTTGCAGGTGAGTGTTGAGGGGAGGGGGCTTGGGAGGTGAAGGAGGGGCGGGAGGGGCGGGAGGCAGGCTGCAGACATCTCACGTGCCCCTTTCCCCACGGCAGCCTGTGCACAGCTCCAGCCCCACGGGGCTCTGTGGTGTTGGCCCCATGACGTCCCCAGGCCCCCTGCACAGCCCTGGCTCCTCCAGTGACAGCAACGGGGGCGATGCGGAAGGGCCCGGGCCTCCTGCTCCAGTGAGTGACCTGCCCCTGAGTCGCCCTTCTGTGCTGGGATCTGCCCTGCCAGTCCCGCAGCCTTGCCTTGGCCGCCTCTTCCTGTCCCCGCCCCTGCCCCCGCCCGCCTTGCTCCTGTAGGGGCTCCCTCCTCCCTGCTCGTGTCCTCTGCCACCCACCGCTGCTCTGTGTCCTGCAGGTGACCTTCCAGCAGATCTGCAAGGACGTGCATCTGGTGAAACACCAGGGGCAGCAGCTTTTCATTGAGTCCCGGGCCCGGCCTCCACCTCGGCCCCGCCTCCCCGGTGAGTTTGCCAAGGACCCGGGGGTGGGGGAGGCGTGAGACCAGAAGATTCCCCCGACCTCCACCTCCAACCCGCTTCCCTGAATCTTGCCCCAGCTACAGGCACATTCAAAGCCAAGGCCCTTCCCAGCCAGTCCCCAGACCCAGAACTGGAGGTGGCCCCTGCTCCCATCCAGGCCCCGCTAGCCTTGGTCCCTGAGGAGGCTGAGCAGAAGGAAGCCTCCAGCTGCTCCTACCAGCAGATCAACTGCCTGGACAGCATCCTCAGGTGAGGCGTGCCTGCACCGGCTCCCCCTTGGGCCCGGTCTCTGCCCCCGCCCGCGCCTGGATCCTGCCCTTAAGGCTGCCTGTTGTGTCGGCCGCAGGTACCTGGAGAGCTGCAACATCCCCAGCACAACCAAGCGCAAGTGCGCCTCCTCCTCCTCCTGCACCGCCTCCTCCGCCTCCGACGATGACAGGCAGAGGGCGGGTCCAGTCCCCATGGGGACCAAGAAAGGTAACGATGTCCCCGCCCCAGCCTGGTGACCCCGTGACTCTGCCCCTCTGCCTCTGGGACCCTACCTCGCTCTGCCTTGTCCCCCTGCCCTGCCTCCTGATCTCCGCCCCACCCCATAGCCCCTCTCCCGACCCCTGGCGGGGTGGTAACCAGGGCCATCTCTCTGCACAGATGCGGCGGCGGCAGTGCTCTCTGGGGAGGGGGCAACTCCGCAGAAGGAGGCGGTGGTGGGAGGCACCCTGAGCCCGCTTGCCCTGGCCAATAAGGCAGAGAGCGTGGTGTCCGTCACCAGCCAGTGTAGCTTCAGCTCCACCATCGTCCATGTGGGAGACAAGAAGCCCCCGGAGGCGGGTATGGGCATGGAGCCAGGGCGTAGCACCCGGGCTCCACTTGGTCCCCAGCCAGCCCCTTCCTGCCTACCCTTCCCCTCCCCCTCCCTCTCCCCCTCCAGGCCTTATGGAGAGAAAGAGGCCTCCTCTTAGTGGGGGCTGCTGCGGCTCGCCCTGCCCCTGCCAGCCTGTCTGCTTTGCCCCACTCTGCTCCTTGTGTTCTCGCCGTCTCTGGAAGCATAGATCTCGGGGGTGGCAGGGTTCAGCCTAGAGGTGCTGACATCAGGGTGTGTGCGGCGAGGAACTTGCTGAAGACCCCCAGAGGGTCTCTGGGTGCTGACCTTGAGAGCGTGTGAGGGGAGGGCGAGGAGGGGGCCTGCCCTCCTACAAGAGCTCTGGCGGTGTCATCCTGGGAACTTGGCTGGCGGGGCAGCAGCCACTGGAGGAGACCGGGAATGCTCGCGTCCCGGGACAGCTTTGCATGGGGTGGTGGGCTCAGGGGCTCGGGGCCCAGGGCTTAGCTGTGCTGTGGGACGGGGAGGGTGTGTGTGGGCTTGTGCTGACCTGGAGGTGATTCTGATGACCTTTCCCCCATCTCCCCTTCCCTAGACATCATCATGGAGGACCTGCCTGGCCCAGCCCCAGGCCCGGCCCCCAGTCCGGCCCCCAGCCCCACAGTAGCCCCTGACCCAGCCCCAGATGCCTACCGCCCAGTGGGCTTGACCAAGGCCGTGCTGTCCCTGCACACACAGAAGGAAGAGCAAGCCTTCCTCAGCCGCTTCCGAGACCTCGGCCGGCTGCGCAGACTCGACGGCTCTTCCACGGCCCCCTCGGCCCCTGGCGAGCGAGGTAGCCACCGGGATGTCCCCGAGCCTGCCTTCTGCCCAGTCCAGGACCAGCCTGCCCCGGGTGGGTCTGGAGGGAGGTGTTCCTACTCCAGGGACGCAGGCTGGTGCTGCCTCCCCCTCCAGGGCCCTGCCTCAGGACAGGCCCCACGGTAGCCTCTCCCTGCCAGGCCGGGGTTCCTGGCTGCAGCCAGGGCAGCCTGGGGTCTGGCTCTGAGACAGGCAGGCGGAGGTGCTGTGTTCCAGGTAAGCTACCCCGGCCTAGCTGGGGGCAAGGGTAGGAGGTGGCACAGGCTGAGGTGCAGCTGTCACTGATGAAGAGATCCATGTGGGCCCTGGGCCGACTCTGGGTGGAGTTGGGGTTTCAAGAGACTCGAGATTCAGACTGAGGCCTGGGCTGTCCTGCCCACCTCTTGCCACTGTGGAGAGCTAGGCAGAAAGAGCAGCACCAGGCTGGCAGTGTCTTCCACAGTTCGGAGGATGAGTTGGAGCCACCTACCCACTGGTCCCTGGACCCACACTGCCTCCTCCCACCTGCCGGTGGGCCTCCTGCTCACCCTAGCTTGACCTTCATGTAACCTTTCCTTTCCCTGGCTCCTTTCTCAATAAATTCCCTGGTGTTTGACTCCTGTAATTGTTCCCTGAAGCCCCCTCCCCCGCTGTGCCCTCTGCTCTGTGTGGGCGAGCAGCTCTCCCTGGAACCTTTGCCCGGCTTCCGTCTGGTCAGTGTCAGGGTGGTTGGGGGAGGCAGGGGCACTAACCCTCAGGCTGAGGCCCTCGCTAACGCCGTCTTTCCCTACAGGCTGCCACCACGGCCCTGCGCCCCCTGGCCGCCGACACCACTGCCGATCCAAAGCCAAGCGCTCACGCCACCACCAGACTCCCCGGGCCGGAAGCCCCTTGCTGCGTTTCCCACCCCTCACCTGTGTCCCCCGCTGCTGCCTGGCCCTCCTCACCGGCCACCACGCCATTCCCAGCCGTGGTCCAGCCCTACCCTCTCCCAGTGTTCTCTCCTCGGGGAGGCCCCCAGGCTCTGCCCCCGGCCTCCACATCTGTGCCCCCTGCCACTTTCCCTGCCCCCCTGGTGACCCCAATGGTAGCCTTAGTGCTCCCAAACTATCTGTTCCCCACTACATCCACCTATCCCTATGGGGTGCCCCAGAGCCCTGCGGAGGGGCCTCCCACCCCTGCCTCCCAGTCTCCGTCCCCTTCCCTGCCTCCCCTGCCCCCCAGTCCCCCGCCACGTCCGGACTCCCCACTGTTCCAGTCAAGATGTAGCTCCCCGCTCCAGCTAAACCTGCTGCAGCTTGAGGAGCCCCCCCGTGCCGAGGGGGCTGCCGTTGCAGGGGGTCCCGGGAGCAGTGCTGGGCCCCCGCCTCCCAGTGAGGAGGCCGCTGAGCCAGAGGCCAGAATGGTGAGCACCGACCCCCTGCGTCCTACAAGCCCACCAGGCCCTCCCCATCCACGTCTGCTCCCTCTGCGCCTGCGCAGCTTCCTGCCCTGGGGTCACCTGGGCTGGGGTCTCTGTCCCCAGGAGTGGGTGTCGTGGGGCGGGAGACCCCAGCTGGATTTCTTCACCAGCTCTCCCCTCTCTCGGCCTGGGTGGGCCCCACTGTCGGGAGCGGAGACAGTGGGGACAGCTGGAGGGCTGTCCAGGCGCGGAGCCCGCCATCGCTGCTGTTCCCTGCCGCCCTCCAGGTGGAGGTGACCGAGTCCTCCAATCAGGACGCGCTGTCTGGCTCCAGCGACCTGCTGGAGCTGCTGCTGCAGGAAGACTCTCGCTCTGGCACCGGCTCCGCAGCCTCGGGCTCCCTGGGCTCTGGCTTAGGCTCCCACGAAGAGGGCAGCACCTCGGCCAGCATCACCCGTAAGCCCACCCCCCCCACCTCCCTGGCAGGGGCCTTGGGAGGCCAGGCCCGCGCCGGGCAGCCCGACTCAGCGGCTGCCCCTCACTCGCAGGCAGCAGTCAGAGCAGCCACACGAGCAAGTACTTCGGCAGCGTGGACTCTTCAGAGGCAGAGGCTGGGGCTGCGCGGGCCAGGGCTGAGCCTGGAGACCAGGTCATTAAGTATGTACTCCAGGATCCCATTTGGCTGCTCATGGCCAATGCTGACCAGCGTGTCATGATGACCTACCAGGTGCCCTCCAGGTGAGGCGGGTCCCAGGCCTCTTCCACCTCCCTTGTTGAGGTGGTGGGGAAGGCAGCCCCAGCCCACCCTCCCTCCCCAGCTAACGTGGAGTTTTCTTCCCTGGGACTCTGTCCTGGAGGCTCCATCCAGCCCCTGGCCCCCTGGAGCCCCATCAGTAGTTTCCCCGACTTGAGAGCAGGTTGCCTGGGCTCCGAGAGCCATGAGCCTCCATCGCCCCAGCTGAGGGGAGGAGCACGAGGTAGTGGGCGGGGAGGTTGCTAGAGGCAGACTGCCAGCCTCGGGGGTCCTGGCCGCCTGGCCTTGGTCCTGGATCCTAGCCTCTGCCTCGAACCTTCCCCGGGCAGGGACGTGGCGTCCGTGCTGAAGCAGGACCGGGAGCGGCTCCGGGCCATGCAGAAACAGCAGCCTCGGTTTTCCGAGGACCAGCGGCGGGAACTGGGGGCTGTGCACTCCTGGGTCCGGAAGGGCCAGCTGCCTCGGGCCCTTGATGTGATGGTGAGAGAAGTCTGGGGGCGGGGGGCTGGCAGGGGATTGAGCTCAAGTTCAAGGCAGAAAGGGTAAGGGCTGGGTCATGAATTCCATGAGCTGCTGGGTGGCGTGGCTGAACTGCCATGCACCTGCTCTTGCCCGTGCCCGTGGTGATGGTCCCCTAGTGGCATCTGGATAGCCAGTAGGACCCCAGGTGCACGTTGGGAAGCACCGCTGGGCCCCGGGGCCGGGAAGCTGGGCTGGTGGACAGTCCTGAGGAGCCTCCTGCCTCACTCTTTCCCCCTTTCTCTCTCCAAGGCCTGTGTGGACTGCGGCAGTAGCGCCCAAGACCCCGGCCACCCTGAGGACCCTGTCTTCTCGGAGCTGGAGGGACTGGGGCTGGAGCCCATGGAGGAGGGTGGAGGCGAGGGTGGCGGCGGCGGTGGCGGCAGTGGTGAGGGTGAGGGTGAGGGTGGTGAGGAGGCCCGGGCCCAGGGGGAGGCCAAGGTCTCCGGCTCCCAGGACTCAGCCATGGAGGAGGAGGAGCAAGGTGGGAGCTCATCCGGTCCAGCCTTACCCGCCGAGGAAAATGGCACCAGCTAGGCTCCATCCGGGGGCCACCTCTGGGCGGGGAGAGGCATCCTTCTGTGTCCTCATGTCAGAACCCAGAGGTGGCCAGACCAATAGGAAACGGCCCCAGCTCGTCGGGGGCGGGGGCTGGACCCATCACCAGCCCGGGATCCAGGGACTGCCTCTGTCCTGTTAGGCAACAGCGGGTGGAGCTCCCCAGCGCAGCCTGGAGGGGTGTCCCCTGCCACCCCTGGTGAGGAGCGCGCCCTGCCCCAGCCCAGGTTGCTGACAAGCTGCTCAAGCAGTCCCGCCGGACCCCACGGAGCCCCAGCGTCAGCCCGAGGGTTCACTGCACTTATTTATTGGGGAGATGGCTCTCTCTCCCACCTCCTCCCCACGTGGGCCGAGGGACTGAGGGCCAAGCAGGACCCAGGGGTTCGAGCCCCTAGCTGCTCCAGGGTGGGGGAGGTTGGTGGACCACGGAGTCCCTGGTGCTGCCCCTCAGGTGGGACCCAGGCGTTCTCAGCTGTTCCCTCTACCAATGGCATTTGTGTTTTTGATATCGTGTCTGTTATTATTTTTGTAATACAAAACCGGAAAAACAAAAACCATCAGGACTTTGTGGAATGAAGTTTGGGAGCGGGGAGCTGGAGCGGGGGGGTGGGGTCCCGCTCCCCCGGAGGGCTGCCTGAGGGTGTGGGCGCTGCTCTCCCTGCACCTCCACTGAGGGCCCTTGACGGCTGCAGACGTCAGCACCAAACTCCGACTCCACGCTCGCCCGCGCATGGCCTCAGCTGGTGTCCCGGGAAGGAGAGATGGATGGAAGGGGCCCGGCTCCTTGAGGTCACCACACCGAGGGGGTGGGGTAGGGGAGGCCCTCGGGCAGCGTCAGCCTAGGTGCTACGGGCACCCGTTGTCCTGCACCCATGGGGAAAAACTGGGCGGGACGTTGACCTCCAGCCCGGACCCCGAGGGGCAGGGGCGAGCCGGGGGTGGAAGGACGCGGCGCCGGGCCTCTCCGCAGCCTCGTCGATGGTGTCTCAAAACAGCTGATGTGCCGCGAGACAGGCCCGCCTTCCCGCCGGCGCCGTGGCTTAGCTGGTTAAAGCGCCTGTCTAGTAAACAGGAGATCCTGGGTTCGAATCCCAGCGGTGCCTCAGCAGCCGAGGGTGGTTTCTTATTGCCACGCACACATCGCGTCTCGACGCGGCCCTTCCAACGATTCTTCTTCTTACCAAGCCCAACCGGCCTCCCGTTCTCGTGCAAAGTCTCACTTCGCCCTCGAAGGCCCGGGAGGAGAGACCCAGACTTGTTCTCATTTTGGTGGGGTCGTCCCGCCGCTCGGCGACCGGAGGGAAACCCGGAAACGCGGCGCCCCAGCCATCGGCATGCGCACGCGCACAGGCGCCGGCGGGCCGCGGGGCGGGGCCGGCGGGAGGCGGGCGCGTTGATAGGCAGCTATACTTGCGCAGGGCCCCAGCCGCACGCGGCTGTGATGGCCGAGTGGTTAAGGCGTTGGACTCGAAATCCAATGGGGTCTCCCCGCGCAGGTTCGAATCCTGCTCACAGCGGTGGTAGTTTTGGTAACTCGGGAGGAGGACACCGTTTGTTTTCGAGTCCTCGCTTGCCTTGGAGATGCAACAACGGCATTCGGAAAATCGCGGGGACCCAGCCCCCCCGGGAGCAACCTGCGAGCGCCCTCTTGCGAGCTTTGGGCTCCTGCCCACCTGCGAAAACCGATTCAGTGCCGGGGTCAGGTGGTTTGCTGGGCGTTCCCAGGACCTTTACCTAATCCCCTTCAGCCTCTTGCTCTCCAGAGCGACTGCTCGCCCTGCAGAGCAGCACACCTTTGACATCTTTGCTTCCTGTCCCAGCGAGTTTCTCATCCACCTGCCTCCTTTCTCGAGTTGTTCTCACATTCTCGTGCCTTTCCCTCGGTTACCCCGGACCAAGGCCAACCCCACACCTGCTAGCTTTCCCAGACCCTGTGGGACGCTCCAGGGTGTCACCCCGCTTCCCTTGTCTACCGGGATATTCCCACCAGCCCAGACACACTGTTTAGAACAAGCGAGACAACACCAGCTGCTGGCTACGGTTTGACTGTGAACCGCCCCCCTCCGCCAAGTTCACGGCTGTCTTGGCAAGTGACACCTTGCACCAGGTTCTAAGGCAGCAAGAAAGGTCACCCTAGGATGAGCAGATGTCAAGTTGCCTGATCGTGGACTTCGCAGCTTCCAGAACTGTGAGCTAAATAAATTTCTATCCTTTGTACATTAGTCTGTGGCATTCGGTTGTAGCCACAGAAAATGGATTCTCCTGACCCCCACCCCATGGTCAGGGTCACCAAATGACTGTGGCGTTGCCGAGTGCACTGGTCACCGCTGAGTTGCAGCTGGCACAGAGGCCCCTCTCCGCTCCTAGAAATGCTCCTTTCTCTTAGTGTCTGCAGCTCCCTTGACTCCAGCGCCTCATCAGCGGGTTCCCGGGCCGCTTCCTCAGCCTCTGGAGCTGTAATATTGTAATAACCTCTTCTCCCTTTGCCCCACCAGCCTCAAGGTGCTCTCCAGCCTCAAGGCTTCTATGCAGCCCAAATGTTCATCTCCAGCTGCAGCAGTAATTCCTGGGTGACAAGTGCTTCCACCCACTGCCCGCGTGCCCTCTCTACTCGGACAGCCACTGTGGATCACAACCTGACCCGAGCACTTGCAAACCAGACTCCTCATCTGCTCCCCCAAACCTGCCGCCTCGGTAAGTGGAGATGCCATCCCTGCAGCTGGTTACACTGACAACCCTCGGAATCATCCCTGATGCTCTTCACTCATTCACATGCCACCTTGACTCCAATGACAATTTGCCACTCTCTTCCCTGCACTCTGGCCCAAGCCATCTTCATCTCTCACTGACATTACTGAAAAACCCCTACAATTATTGCCTGGCTTCCACTCTTCTTCTAACAGCTTATACCAGATTCTGTTATTCCTCTCTTCAAAATCTTCCAGTGAGGGCTCATGGATTCCTGGGTGTGTGTGTGTTTTTTTTTTAATTTTTATTCTTAATTTTTATTAAGAATACAGGGAGATACATACAGGGAGATGAACAGACAGAGAGCGTGCTCCTGTCAACTGGTTCACTCTCCAAATGCCTGCAACAGCTGGAGCTGGGCCAGGCCAAAGCCAGGAACCAGGAACTCAATCTGGGTCTCCCCCATGGGCGGCGGGGACCCAAGCACTTGGTGTGCATTAGCAGGAAGCTGGAATAGGAAGTGGAGCCAGGACTCCCACCCAAGCACTCTATATGGGAGGCAGGCATCCCAAGTGGCATCGTGACTGCGAGGTTACGTGCTTGCCCTGGATTCATGGTTTTTACTGGGTATAGATATAGAAACAAGTGCATATATACACACTGTACAGACTTCCTAGCTCTGAACACTGAGTGATGATGTGTCAGTAAGCAATGAGCACACCCAAGCACCCAGACCTTGGTGACTAAATACCACTCTCTACTAAGAGAACCAGAGCTCCTTGGAGATAAGACCAATTCCAGGACTGGGAGTGGGGAATTGCGAGATGATCTTGGAACACTATTCCATTAGAAAGCAAAGAAGCGCTCAGAAAACATTGAATATTTATCAAAAACACACAGCAGCAAGAGGCTGTAGCCAAAGAGACTCCCGTGGCTAAATCTGGGGCAATTTCGCTGTTCAAATAAATAATGACTAGGAGGTATTACATGGAATAAAATGCAAATCCAATTTATACCAGCGAACAAATAAATCAAGTTGGGATAGGAATGCTCTGTTGTAGTAGCCAAGTAATAAACAGAGGCAGTGCTGGAGGTAGAAATAAATGAACAGGGGATTCTAAAGCGTGGACGAGCTTCTGATAAAGTGTGAGTGCTAACCAGTCTCAGCTCTGCCCAGAAAATCCCTGCTACCGACAAAGGAAAGTAACTTTACATGGAGAAATAAGCGGGGCAAATCTAACCGGTGTGCATCTTCTGGTGCGATGCAGGGTGCACACAGCGCCCTTTTGAGCTGATCTCCCTGCCGCAGCCTGAAGGATTGGCATCTAATCACCAAGAAGCTCCAGGCCAACAAAGGGAAAGAGGAGCCGCAGAACACTTCCTGAGCTCTTTGAGATTGTCAAGGCCAGGCTGAGTCAGACTGAAAGGAAGCCCGCTTGGGATGTGTGTGATCTTGGACAAAGGAGAAAGGCGGAGAACATCACTGGGACACGGAGGAGATGAGAATGGGAACGATCGGCTTAAAAACACCGGATCTTAATCTTCAGGGCCTGACTTTGGTAATTGTCATCATTAGGCTATGGATGTCCTTGTTCTTAGGAAATACACCCAGAGTAGCTAGGGGTGGAAGGGCCCCATATTTCCATGTTATTCCCAAATGGTTCAGAAAACAAATCTTTCATAGCTTTTAACACTTGGAGAGAAATGGTCAAGCGAGTGGAGCTGATGTGAGCCGTTCATGCACCTGGGAGTGTTCCTGGTGCTGTTCTTGTAACTTTTCTGGAAGTTTGAAATTGTATAAAAATCAGAAGTTCCCAAAACAGAATGAAACCAAAAAAAAAAAAAAAAAAAAAAAAAGAAAAGAAAGAAAGAAAAAAAGGAGTGGGGAGCCTTCAGAGCATCTCACCTCACTCGGAGATGAGTCCCTGTATAGTCCTTACGATGATCTAGAAGGTTCTCCAGGAACTGCCTCCTCCCTCGGTCTCTGCTCTCACCCTCTGCAGTGCCTGCACTAGCTACGCCCCGTACCAGGGGCTGAGCCAGGCTGTTTGCTAGAACCTTCCCCTGCTTGGAGCCTGCCCTTCACCTCTTAAAGCTCACCTGTGAGCCCCTCCCCGTCACCCCTGCAACCTGACAGCTCTTATCCACTCCCCTTCTCTGCTCTGCGTTCCACAGCCTCTGTTACCACCTGACGAATAAATGGGTTTTGTGAGCTGGGCACTGCCTACCCCACAAGGCCGCACTGGGCGGAGCTTGGCGTCCACCGTGCTGGTGCTGGACAATGAAGGGGGTTGGGGAGGGGCTGGGGTTGCAGGATTTTGGCCTCTGCCAGGACCTGCTTCTGAAGGCCTGTTTTCTGGGGCTCTGTGCCGCCCTGTCTCCTTTTCTTAGCTTTCACACCCAAGGCACGCTGGGGAGACAGGGCCAGGAGGGTTTGCTTTGTGGGCTTACACCACCCCCACCCCCAGGACCCAACCATGCAGGAACTCCTCCTACCCAGCACCCGGTGTGTGTGTGTGTGGGGGGTTCCCAGGAAGCCAGGCTTCCCTTTGAAGCACAGAAGAGGGAGGAGCTGAGCCCCGGAACCCAGGCCTGGGGGCGCGGTCACAGCAGGGAGGGGAAGCTGGGACACTCGGCCAGCTGTGCCTTCCCAGGTCCTTTCCTGCCCCCTGCCTCCAGTGTGGGGGAAGCGAGCTCCCCTCCCTTAGAGCCCCAGCGTGACCCCCTGTTGCGAAGGCAGTCAGGAAAGAGCTGCAGGCTCAGGCCACAGCCACAGATGCCCACACGGTCGCCGAGGCGTGATCTCTGAAGAGATGCGCAGGGTGTGGGTGGGGACATCCACACAAGAACCATGAGAGGGAGAAAGTCACCCAGGCTGCTCAGACTGGGCGGGGGGAGGGTGCTGAGACATATATAACTTGAGGGGAAGAACTTTTGGAGGAAAAAGAACAAAATTAGATATGAGTGATACTTAGTAATAAGAACACAACTTACCCATTTAAAAAGCCCACCGGGCCGGCGCCGCGGCTCACTAGGCTAATCCTCCGCCTAGCGGCACCGGCACACCAGGTTCTAGCCCCAGTCGGAGCGCCGGATTCTGTCCTGGTTGCCCCTCTTCCAGGCCAGCTCTCTGCTGTGGCCAGGGAGTGCAGTGGAGGATGGCCCAAGTGCTTGGGCCCTGCACCCCATGGGAGACCAGGAAAAGCACCTGGCTCCTGGCTCCTGCCATCGGATCAGCGCAGTGCGCCGGCCGCAGTGCGCTGGCCGCGGCGGCCATTGGAGGGTGAACCAACGGCAAAAGGAAGACCTTTCTCTCTGTCTCTGTCTCTCTCTCTCACTGTCCACTCTGCCTGTCAAAAAAAATAAATAAATAAAAAAATAAAAAGCCCACCGATGTCAGTGCAAAAGCAGTGATTGGTATGGATTGGCTGCGTGCACCTGTCTGCAAGGCGTGTCACAGCCGATGGCCGCATGCCTTTGAAATCTTGCTTCTCTCTTACCACTGCTAGGAGCTGTTTCGGCCTATGTGCCCTCTGGCCCTGCAGCTGCCCAAGCCAGGCTTACTTAACAGTAAGTGAAAGTGACCATATATCACCAAAACTTATCCTGGGAAACTGAAAACTCTCTCTCCAGCTCTCCTTCTCCATCCCAGTCACCCCAAATGCCCTCAGCCACCCCAGCACCCAGTGGGGGGGAGAGTAGCCGAGAGACAGGGGAGCTCAGGGGAGCTCGGAGCCTCCTCTTCCCCACCACCTGCCGTTCAAATAGCCTCTGACGTCTGCACATTTCACACAGGCATGTGCACGCTACCAGGCCCTCCCCAGGGCGCTCTGACTGGGTCTCTGCGCTGGAAATTCTCAGTCCTCCCACTCAGAGTGCACTCAGCTGGCCTGGAAAAACCTGAGAAAGCCTGCATTCTCCCAGCCTCAAAGGTGGGCTTCCCCACTTTTCAAAATGAACATTTCACACCTTCTTTCTCTTCTAACCACCTGCAGCTCTCTCTCCTGTGACAGTGAGCCTGACCCAGTTATCCTAGAAGGGATAGCAAGCCGGAGAGCAAGCCTGCCTCACCCTTCCTGCAGCCCAGGTGACCCAATGCCCCAACCCCGCACCTTGCACCGGGGACAGAGGCTTCCTTGCTACGGAGGGCTTTCTCCGCCTGGCATTGGCCTTGATCTTGGTTCCCATCAGCATCAGGTATCCTCTGACAGCCCTCATCGGCTGCTGCTGCTTCTGGCAGTCGCTCCCGAGCCAGCCGAGCTGGAGCGAGCCCTGTACCTGCCTTCACAGTGATTCCCACCCCACCCCCCCATCCCCACCCCGCCGGTCAGGCCCGCTTAGCGGTCAGTACAGAAGTGATTCTTCCCCGGGCCTCTGTGACTTCCGGAACATTGAACTTGATGGTTGCTTCTCAGCCTTTGCCTGATTTGACCTCCCAGCTGCTTAGGTCCCGCTGACTGCTCTTTTAAAAAATGTATTTATTTGTTTACTTTTATCATTAATATAACTTGTTTTGTTTTAAGGATAATGAGTGCATACATTTGTGGGGGTACGATGTGGCATTTGATCCTGGCTGATCAAATCCAGCCAAGGGGCGTCCCCCTCACATCGTCTTGTGTGCGGTGAAGATATTGAAGATCTACCCCTCTCGCCATTTGGGAACACACAAGGCATGGATGTTAACAATGGTCGCCACGCTCTGCGGTCACCCCTCAGGCTCTGGTATAGACCTCTCTCGGTGTCCAGAATATCCAACACCTTGGTTTTCCCTGCCTCCCTGGCATTCTAGACCCTTTTGCCAATTCCTCCTCTTCCACTGACCCTTTGACGATTGGGGAGCCCGGCTCAGCCTCTCCCTTGGCACCTGCTCGCCCTTGGACCCCAGGCACACAGCATTAAAAGCTGTCTGTCTGCCAATCAGCCCAGTACCTACCCCTGGGCTCTTATCCCCCAAGCTCTTACATGTCCAGGCTACCTGAAACCCCCACTGGGGTGTGTAAGGGGATCTCGGCGATTTCCCCAGCACACACGTGCACACATGCACTCTCACACACTCATATACATACACACACACACTCACAAACACATGCACTCTCACACACGCACTCATGCACATACATACACAAGCACACACACATACATGCATGCCCTCTTACACTCACACACTCATGTACACACATACATACACATGTATACATGCACTCTCACATACCATCAGCATGTTTCATGGCATGAAACCTGGCAGTGTTTCCCGTCTCGGGAACCGGCACCACCACCCAGTTACTTGGGCAAAGGGCCTGCCAGTCACCCGCTCCTACTTCCTCTACAGCGCCACCACTTCCTAGGAAGCCCAGGCACACTGCCCGCCGGATGACCGACATTCCACAAATCCCTCCTAGGAGACGGCTCCAGCTCCTCGAAGGAACCCTGTGCTTCCCTTCTCTACGTGGCAGCTGAGGTGATGTTTAAAAAACACAACTCAGATAAAGAGAATCGAAAATGAATCTTGATGTGAATGGAAGGGGAGAGGGAGTGGATAAGGGGAGGGTTGCGGGTTGGAGGGACGTTATGGGGGGAAGCCATTGTAATGCATATTCTGTACTTTGGAAATTTATATTCATTAAATAAAAGTTAAAAAAAAAAACACAACTCAGAAGACAAACTTTCTGGGTGAGAATCCTCCCTCTGGCTGGCATTGCACATAGACTACAACCCCAGGTCCTCAGCGCATCCAAGGACCAGGGTGCTGGGCTCCCACGAGACCTCTGCACATTCTCCACCACACGGTCGCTGGCCTCTCTCTCCTTCCCACCAGCAAAACTCTTCCCTACCCCAGGGCCCTTGCACTTGCTCCTCCTTTTCAAACATCCTCTCCTTACGAACGCCTTCTCTGGGTATCAGGCTCAGGTCGGTGCCCCGGCCCCGTGTGTGTGCGCCTGCGCGCGTGTTCTGTCCCCACAGCCTTGCAACCGTCTGAAATGAACTTAAGTCCGTTTGTGTCTTCTCTCACTTTTTTTTTTTTTTTTCCTGTCTCTCTCACTCTCCTGTGAGCCTCGGGGGAGCCCAGACGCACTCTGAACGATCCATGCCCAGCAATATTCCATAAATGCGCCCATGGGCGGGGTGAATAAATGCGCCAGCAGCTGGTCACACAGACATAAAGACGCCCCATTGTTTGGCCATTTCCTTCTGGGGGGGCCGCTGTCACGGCGGTGCCAGGCGCTGCTGCCACCTGCGGCAAAGACCCAGACGCGGGCTCGGCGGACCAGAGACGGGCTACGGGGGCCGGCAAAGAGCGCGCGGAGGGCGGCCGGGGCGCCGTCCGCTCCAGCCTACGGAGGCCGCGGCAGGTGGCCGCGCGCCCGCCCGCCCGCCTGCAGGCGCGACGCGTGCGGGATCAAAGCGGCGGGAAGGGGCGGGGCGCAGAGGTGTCGGGGACCGGGAGGTGTGAGAGAGCGAGCTTCCCATGGACTGCAGGAGCGTGGGAGCGCAGAGAGCCCTGGAGAGACGACGAGACGGAGCCGGGACGAGCGAGCTCAGCGACTCGAGAGCGCAGATGAGATGCAGACGCGGAGCACGGGGATACCCCGAGTCAGGGATGGGGCGACAGAGGAGGTGGCGCCACGAGACTCGGGGGGGACGCGAGAGAAGCGGAGACAAGAGACGTGGAGGGAGGCCGGACGGGAACGACCGAGACTCACGGACTCGGGAAAATGAAGTGCGCTTGGAAAACCAGAAAGGAAGAGCCGTGGAAAAAAGCAGCAGGGGTGGAGAGTGTGGGGCAGGGCGAGCTCCCCCTCCCCTGCGGAGGGCTCCGGGGACCCCCGGGGCGGGGATCCGAGCGCCGCGTCCTTTCTCAGGGTCACGCCCGGGAGAGGTGCGGGCCGGGGACAGAGGGAGGGGCGAGGAGGCTGTAGGACCCCCAGGCTGGGAGGGTCTGTCTGCCAATCAGCCGTGCAGAATCACGGCCTAGACCTAGGGTTTGGAACTAAACTCCGCCATTGAGCCAAAGAGTTATACTGGGAATGTTTGAACAAAGGTGCTTCTTGGAAAGTCATTAAATTTAGACTCTCGTCTTTGGAGATAAGAGGAAGAGAAAGGATAAGGAAAAAGCTAGAAGTGCATTGGCCGGGAATCGAACCCGGGCCTCCCGCGTGGCAGGCGAGAATTCTACCACTGAACCACCAATGCAAGTGATAGAGAAGACCTGACAGTACTCCCTGACCTTTGAGGAGGTTGAGTCGGAAGTGACCACACTGAAGGCGCAGACCAGGGGCTCGGGCAAGGAACAGCCCCGGATGGCTGACGTGGGTGGAGCGCCGGATCCGGCCACCGGGCCATAAAGCCACCCCATATGGCCAGGGGCGGCCCCACACCCGGGTGCGAACAGCCCCGGGCCCCAAGCCTCGCGTGCAGGTGAGAAAAACTCAGCCCGAGCGCAGGTTCCCAAGGAGGGGGGCGGCGGGGGCTGTCGGGGCCACACATCTGCGCTCCCATTTGGCTGCGGTAGGGGGGGAGGTGGGATGTGCTGGGGGCCCTGATCCCAAATGGAAGCCCCTTCCTCAAGGTCTGCCCCCCCGCCCTGCGCCTGCGCTGGGCTGGGGCTTTAGCAAGCCAGGGCCGAGTGGCCGGAGTGGGGAGGGGGCGCTGGAAGGGCTTGGAGGAAGCCCCTCTGGTCTCTGACTCCACGGCTGTCTCCCACCTCGGTGTGCGACCCTGTCTGCCCCTACCCTCGCCAGCCGTGTGGCATTTGTCCTAAGGATATCATTCTGCAGAGAGTCATGCTCTCGGTTTGAGAGGGGCAGTAACCCTTTTGTGTGTCCCTTTCTTGTCCCTGTAGGACAAGTGCCCGCTGTCTGTCCCCTACAGTCACGGGGCCCTCCACAACACAGGCACACCTGTACACGGGGCTCACCTGCTGCACTCGGGAGCCTCCTCTAATTACTTTGTACCAAATCTGTTGGGTGGGAGGCTTTCCCCTTCCTCCCCTCCCCTCCCCGGAGCCCCTGCTTCACTTTGCTTCTTGAACAGCTACTTTGCTGCACGAGGGGGTCCAGGCCTAGGCCAGCAAAAGTCGTGTGCACCCAGATAGATGTAGGCGGCTGAGCATAAAGGACTTGGGTAGGACCGCACCCCAGGTCCCTCCAGGCAGAGCCCCACTCGAATCAGGGGCACCCATCAGGCAGGCACACTGTCCTGGTAAGAGGTGCATTTGGAGGAAGGTGTAGGCTTGCGGGCTTGGGGCTTGCGGGGAGCTTATGTCACCGTTGGGCACTGCGTGCTGTGATTTTAGGACAAAAGTTGCATCTCATCTCTGTGTCTGTTCTGTCCCCAATCACTTCAACTCCCTCTCCCCGGGGAAGCCTCCCCGTGTCAGCTGCTCCCACCCCATTATACAGCCTTATGGGCCTATTAAAGCAGACGGCCCCCATTCGCCCCTCGCTTCCCACACTCCCAGGGTCAATTCCTTTCCTTCCCCTCCCCCTTTCACTCCTCGCCTTTCCGGGAGCCTCGTGCCGGGGTCCTAGCTGGGCGGGGTCCGGGTGCCCAAGGGGCGGGGCTGGGTCCTAGCCCTCCTTCCCCGGGCGGCGGGATATAAGGCTCAGGGAGAGCAGAGACCCGGTCCACACCAGGGTCCGGAGGAGCGATGGTCACCCGGGATCGAGCTGAGAATAGGGACAGCCCCAAGGTGAGAAGCGGGAGGGCAAGGAGCAAAGGGCATTGGTCCGGCCAGCGCACCAGGGCCCTGACACCGTGGGTCAGGGGGCTGGGGGCGGCGGATGCAGGGTTGGGAAGGGCGAAGCGCAACGGGGCGAGGCCAGGAGCTGGAGAGGAGGTTACAAAGTTTGAAGATGGAACAGGGGCTGAGCAGGGCCAGCATGGGCAGTGGCAGCAGAGGTCTGAGGGGCTTGTGTGCTAGTTGCTGGGGTGGGCACCTTGGGCCTGGAGGGCGTGGGAAGGGGGCGGAAGTTTGAGCAAAATAAGCAAGAGAGGGAAGGAGCCCAGGGAAGAGAGTGGGGATGCGGGCAGACGCTGCTGGGCGATTGCTCTGCTCTGGCTGTGCGCTGGGCCTGGTCGCACCCGGCTTGCAGAGAGGGGGCCCGAGGCCCGGTGCAAGGTGTTAGGGGAAGCCGTGGGGAAGGGTGACGGCCTAGCGGGCTCCGAGGGGGAGAGGGAAGCCCGGCCACGCTGGACGCCGCCAGTTCTGAGCCTGGCACCGGGCGGCCCATGTGCCTATGGGTGCAAAGAGGGTCCCCAAAGTTCTCCACAGAGACCGAGAGGTGGAGGGAAAGGAGGAGGGGGGACGAGACAGGAGGAGAGAGGGGGGGAGAGAGCTAGGCACACGGATCGAGGCGCGTGGGGAGGGCGCGCAGAGAGGGGTACACCGGGCCCGGTTCCAGACTAGCCCGGGTCCGGGGGAAGGGGCGGAAGCGGGATTCTCCTGGCGCGGGGGCCGGGCGTCCGCGGGCCGCGCTGAGTCTCGGCCCTGTCGGCCCGCGCTCCCTCTCCCGCTCTCGCAGATGCTGAAGCCGCTGGTGGAGAAGCGGCGCCGGGACCGCATCAACCGCAGCCTGGAAGAACTGAGGCTGCTGCTGCTGGAGCGGACCCGGGACCAGGTCAGTCTCTGCGCCGGCCCCCGCGCCCTGCTCCCGGGGCCCAGGGCTTCCCCCGGCGGTGCGGGTGGGGGTGGGGGCTGCTGGCGCCTTGGCCACCCGAGCCCCGCCCTGGGAATCCCATCCCAGACCGCTTCTCGCTCTTAGAACGAGATCTCCGCTGCCCCTCGGGCCTGTGAGTGTCACGTCCGGCTCTGCGAATGTCGCTCCCAGGGCCGGTCCGTTTCACCCTCTGGGTCTCCGACTGTCCCCGCGGCCTCCTCCACGCCCCCACCCCCACCCCCCAGATCAGCCAGCGTCCGCTTGGCCGGCGGGTTTCACTCCCTGGGCGGCCGTTTTCAGGCCCCCGTCCTAGCGCACGCGGCGGCGTCGGTTGCCTGCCCCTCGGGCGGGCCGGTTTCGTCTCAGGGCAGGCCAGGGCCACTCTCGGCCGTCTCCACGCCGCGCTCGGCCTCGCGTTCCGGGGGCACCCCCCAGCCCCCGCCCCCCTTCTTCCCCCTGCCACTTCCCCCCTCTCTCCCCACCCCTGTCTTGTCTCTGCGCCCTCCCCTCCCGCCTGTAGAACCTCCGGAACCCGAAGCTGGAGAAGGCGGAGATCCTGGAGTTCGCCGTGGGCTACTTGAGGGAGCGCAGCCGGGTGGAGCCCCCGGGTACAGCGCGGGGGTGGGGCGGCGTCGGAGGGTGGGGGGGAACCCCCAGAGGCCCGGGCCGGGGAGACGGGGCGGGCCCTGCGGTGGACGGTGGGCTTGGGGAGTGGCAGGCTGTGCTGCGAGGCGAGGTTACTAACACCCGCGCGTGTCTGTCTCTGTGTCTCTCATCTTCTCCCTCTGTCCGTCCATCTGGCTTTCTGGCTCCGTCTGTGCGCCTGTCCGGCCTCTGTACCCCTGCGCCCCGACCCTTGCCTCACCCCCGCTGGGCCCCTGCCCTGCCCGCCGCCGCGGCTCCAGGGGTTCCCCGGTCCCCAGGCCAGGACGCCGAGGCGCTCGCCAGCTGCTACCTGTCCGGCTTCCGCGAGTGCCTGCTCCGCTTGGCGGCCTTCGCGCACGACGCCAGCCCGGCCGCCCGCGCCCAGCTCTGCTCCGCGCTGCACGGCTACCTGCGCCCCAAACCGCCCCGGCCCGAGCCGGTGGATCCGAGGCCTCCGGCGCCGCGCCCACCGCTGGACCCCGCCGCACCGGCCTTCGGCCCCGCGCTGCACCAGCGCCCCCCAGTGCACCAGGGCCCCCCTAGCCCGCGCTGCACATGGTCCCCAGCCCGCCGCTCGCCCCGCGCCGGGGATTCCGGCGCGCCGGCGCCCCTCACCGGACTGCTGCCGCCGCCGCACAGACAAGACGGGGCGCCCAAGGCCCCGCCGCTCCCGCCGCCCGCTTTCTGGAGACCTTGGCCCTGAGCTGTGGGGGCTGGGGTGGGAGCGAGGGCTGGGGGCAGGGTAGAGACTCCAGCCCGAGGGCAGCAGAGGGACCCGGGCGTCCGGGCGAGGAGGTGTTGGGGAGGGCGGCGGGGCGCGCGGGCGCAGCGCGCGGGTGAGATGTGGTCTATATTAGAGTATCTATATAAATATATATTTCCCTGCTTCCTGTCCTTTTCCCTGAGCCCCCACCCCCACCCCCTGGCGTCTAGGATTGTACCCTCTCCGTCCCCGGCCCAGTCCCAGTCGCTTCCCGAGTCCCTAGTGCATGGAATAAAGTGGTTATTAAATCCCCGTGTGTCCCCGAGCCAGGGGCCTGCCTTTATGTCGGCGTCCACGCCCACTGTCCCTTCCCTTCTGTCTTCCATCCCCAGTCCTGCTCTCCATGGCCCAAGCCCGGGGCAGCCAGGTAAGTAAGGAGCAGAGCGGAGACTGAGGTTGGAACTGGAAACTACGCGGAAAACACAGAGGAGGCGGGAGTGGGGAGGGGTGGGGGAAGGGATGGGAACCTTTTAAGAAAAAGCCGCAAAAAAGGGGAAAAAATTTTGAAATAAAACCGACTCTGGTGGGATTCGAACCCACAACCTTTGAATCGCTCTTTCGTCACTAGAAGTCCAATGCGCTATCCATTGCGCCACAGAGCCACCTGGCGGGCGGCGACGTCTGAGGGCTTACGGGTACCAGCGCGGGGCGAGGCGGGGAAGCGTGTGCGTGTGCGTGCAACGTGCGATGCGGGTCTCGGAGGTCGGCCCGACAGAGGCAGCCCGCAAACAGCGCGGGAGCCACGCGGGAGTGAGGGCGCGCGCGGGTGGCAGGCGCCGGGAGAGGCGGAGCGGGTCCGGGCGCGCGCGCGCGTGTGTGCCGAGCCCCGCCGCCCGCTCAGGCGCTCCGCACGCCCAATTGTAGCCCCACCCCAAAATGAGCTCGCTTGCCTGTGCGTCTCTCTGCGCTCCGTGTTCTGCCAGCCCGCCGTCTCCACAGCCCTCCGCTCCCGGGTTGAGACACGGGAGAGGGAAGCGCTCACATCGCGGCCTTCGCGCCCCGCTCCTCTCTTAGGAAGACAGCGGAGGGACCGGTCCGCACGCAGGTAGCGTGGCCGAGCGGTCTAAGGCGCTGGATTTAGGCTCCAGTCTCTTCGGAGGCGTGGGTTCGAATCCCACCGCTGCCAGGCCGGGAATTTTACTTTCTCTTTTTCCCCCTACCCTCCTCTCAGAAACTTTTCATTTTAGGACTACATGCATTTCATAAATACAACTTGAAGAACACAGTGCTGCTTCCCACCCTGTCTGCTGCCCCACCCCTCTTCCTCCTCCCTCTCCTATTCCCATTCTTATTTTCAATTCCCTTTACACACGTTAAATGAACCCCTCCTTCTGGCCCAAAGCCTGGGTTCCTGTGCGGTGCTCCCTTGGTTTTCCGGGGCCCCAGCAGTATTCCCACCCCTACACCAAGGCCTGGAGGAAACCTCTCTTTATCATCGACATCAGAGCATTCTTATCGCACAGCTCTTCACCAATATTCAAGTGACTAAGTTCCTGTGAACCCCCATGGTGAGCTGGGGGATCTCATGAACCAGTGTGAAAAGCTCCAAGACCCGCGGTTCGAGCTCCAAGTGAAAGTCACACACAAAACCAACACGTGACACCTGACGACCCAAAACTTAAGGTTCCACCGAGATTTGAACTCGGATCGCTGGATTCAGAGTCCAGAGTGCTAACCATTACACCATGGAACCCCACTTGCCTCACCCCTTTCCGAGATTATACACATTACTGGAATTCCTATTTTCCATTTCCCCCCCTCCCAGTATAGTTAAAAAGCCAACTAACCCCAACCCGTTGTCGGAGCATCTGAATTACTATATATTGTCTAAATACACGTCGTGGTTAGAAGATTGCATGCCAAAAAAGACAAAATTCCACTAATTGCAAAGTACTGATTCCATGTTACAGTAAGATTTTGCAACACTAAGTAAAGTACATGATTATGCTGTTTTTTTGCCGTTTCTTTTTTATCTTTTATTATGTAATTCCTGCAAAATGTACATTCCCATCCGTGCCTCGCAGATGCCGCGTTCTAAAACACTGGCACACGACACCCTCTGGTCCTTATGAAGGTACGTAGTTTTATCTTTCTGGCTGTTTCCCCGTGCCTTATTTGAAAATGTACAGTATTTCATTGCACGCCTAAAGAAAACAAGTCTCCCGCCCGCAGTGAGAAAAATCAGACGCCCGAACAGGGACTTGAACCCTGGACCCTCAGATTAAAAGTCTGATGCTCTACCGACTGAGCTATCCGGGCCCTTGCTAGGGTTGTCTTCTCCTACCTAGAAGAGGTTCATACAGCCGTCAATCCCGGCCCACAACCCCAGCAGGGAGCCGGCTCTTTCTATTCACACGACTCGGGCACGGACTCGGAGGACGCCAGCGAGGCCCGGCACCACTGGCTGCGCTTTCTCTGCCCGCTTCCTCGGCGCCCACGCTGAGGCGGGGGAGCCGGGGCAGGAACGGCGCGGAGCGGGAACGCTGCGGTGCCGGGACTGGCCGCGCGGGGCCGCTGCGGACTACGGGCCGCTCTCGCGGCCAAGATTCCTCCCCGTCGCGTGCGACCCAGATCCCGGACGCCCTGGGCCCTCGGGCGCCCGCCCACTGTCCCGCAGGCCGAGGGCGCCCTGGAGCGGAAAGAATGCCACGCGGGGCCTCCAGACCCCGTGCGCCCGGGCTCCGCTGGGTCCCCGCGACCCGCCCTGGCCCAGCGCAGCGACTGAGGTCGCGCGTGCCGAAGGCTGGGACAGCGGGGTCCCGGGAGTGAGGGGCGGGGTGCGTGAGACGGCGTGCGGGGCACCCCCTGCTGTGTGTGTGTGCGTGGGAGGAGTAAGAGCGCGACTCACTCGCGAGTGGCTGCAGTCATGTGAGATTCGTGGCCGAGTCTCGCTCGCCTGTGTTCAGTGATTCACGGGTGATTCACACGCAGGAATTCAGGTGCCCCGTGCTCACTTCTAGCTGGGGGGAGGGAAAGGAAGAAAGGGTCTCTGGGGGAAGCTGAGCGGTGGGCCCCTGGCCAGGCAGAGAGGTCAGTGTCCCAATCACACAGGTGTCGCGCCTCCTCCCTGTAGCTCTCAGCCTCTGGTCCCTCCCTCCCTCCCCAGGGGACCCAGGCTCCTGATCTCCATCTGGGCGAGCCAGCCAGAGGGACTGGCAAGCAAACAAGTATTAGGGTGGAAGGAAGAGTGTGGGCGGAGAGAACGAGCCCGAGCGGCCACCTGAGAGCTTCGGCGAGAGCTCAGGAGTGTCCCAGAGAGAGCTGGGTCCTCCTGTCCCCAGGACCCCAGCCCAGCCCGGCTGCCGCTCGCCTCCTCCAGGCAGGCTGCGGGACTTCCCTCCTTCCTTCCCATCATGGCTGTGTACCGCCTTCGTGTGACCACTGGTCCCTACCTGATGGCCGGCACCATGGACAACATCTCCGTCACCCTGGTGGGCACGTGTGGGGAGAGCCCCAAGGAGCGGCTGGACCGGATAGGCAGGGACTTTGCCCCGGGCTCGGTGAGTACGGCGGAGGAGGGAAGGGCCCCCCAGGAGGGCCCCCACGACGGTCCTGGAGGGGCAGGACTCAGGGGGGACCCCGAAGAAGGTGTGGAGGCGCGTTCCTCCCGGCCCTGACCCGGTCACTATTCCTATGGTGGCCCCTGTCTTTTCTGGAATGCAGAGCCGGGAGCTAGCTCTCTGCCTCCCTAGCTCCCCATAGGCTGGTGGTGGGCACCGGACAGGTCATTTCTGCTGTTAGCCTACACTTCCTCTTCTCCCTGGAGGGCTCTCGCCGGCCCCCGGGATGGTTTGCTGGCGGGCTGCACGAGGGAGCCACACTCTCCAGTTCGCCCGCACCTGCCCCGAGCGTGCTTCTGCCTGGGGGAGCGACTCTCCTTTTTCTAATCTGAATGGATTAGAAGCCTGTCGTAGGGGTGGCTAGTGGCAGCTGAGGTTGCTCTGGATCAGCTGAGGGTGTAGACCCGACTCTTGCCAGGTGTCTTGGTAATTCCCTGCCGCTCACTCCCTCGCGCCCCAGGTGCAGAAGTACAAGGTGCACTGCGCGGCCGAGCTGGGCGAGCTCTTGCTGCTGCGTCTACACAAGGAGCGCTACGCGTTCTTCCGCAAGGACTCGTGGTACTGCAGCCGCATCAGTGTCACTGCCCCCGACGGAGCCGTCTCCCACTTCCCCTGTTATCAGTGGATCGAGGGCTACTGCACCGTGGAACTGCGGCCCGGAACAGGTGGGCCACGGCTGAGGCTGGATGGGGTCTCACCGAGCCTGGGGTGTAGGACCTGGGGTTGAGGTGAGGAACTCTGGGCTCCCAAGTAAATGCTTTCTTAAAAAAAAAAAAGTGAATTTCTAAAACCCTGAAATGTGGGGGTTGGGGGACAATTTTACTCCTCTGGGACACATGCGCTCGTACAGACATAAGAGGGTACTTCGAAAAGTTCGTGGAAAAGTGAAATTAAGAAAGAATTTTTGATGTGAAAATTTTCCAAATCTGTACATATAAGTGGTCTTCCAAAAATTCATGAAAAAGCGCCCTATTGTGAAAAGGTATGAATGCATTTCAGACTTTTTTGCACCAGAATAACCGTCTCTCAGAATTTCATTTTCCCACACACTTTGGGCGGCTCTTTGCTTTCCCCAAAGAAAATGCCTCTAGATGCAGAGACAAACTCCCCTACAAGCTGAAGTGCTTGAGTCTCTCCTGGGGAGAAGCCACCAGGTTGGGGAATTTCCCTGGAGAAGCCCCGTCCCCTACTGTGGCTTCTCTAGGGCGCGTGAAGCCCCTGTGAAGGGGTGTTGAATTTAGGGAGCGCCTGGGTCAAGCCCCTTCAGCTTCCGGAGCTGCCTGCTCTGAGCATTATTGGCAATGAGGACAGAACACTAGGTCGAGGCGCAGGAACCTTCCCCTAACGCCAATAGCAAGCTGTCCCTAGAGCGAGCTGTGACCCTGGGGCGTCTACCCACAGCTTCACAAAATGTACTTGTTTATCCGCCTGTCTTGGTGCCAGGCTGCTGGGAGCAGCATGGTTTGTACCCTGCAGGTCCTGGTCAGGCAGGAGATGGGTGTGGTTTGCGGGCAAGCAGAGCTCCTTCCACTGACCACTGCACAGGGCCACGGTCCCCGTGTGCTTGCCCTGGCCGTGGTGGGACTGCAGGCAGGGGTTAGGGACTTGGGCAGGGTGGTGGAGGTGGAGCCGTCTGACCAGCGCTGTCCTCTCCTTCCCCACAGCAAGAACTATCAGTCAGGACTCCCTTCCCCTCCTTGTGGATCACCGGAAGCGGGAACTCCGGGCGCGACAAGAGTGCTACCGGTGAGGTCGGCCGGCTGTGACAGCCCCCCCCCCCCCATCTGTATTCTGACCTCAGCCCCAGTCAGGTTGTTCCAAGCTGGAGTCAAAATTCCAGGCTTGGGCTTCTACCCCCTCCCACCCCAACCCTAAGACTGACCCCCAGTCTGGCCACAGAAGACCACAGCCAACAATTGTCCCAGCACCCTCCGTGACCCAGTGCTCAACCCCAACCATCCTGGTCCCCACGTTGGAAAGACCCTGGTGCTCACCAAGCTTGGTCGTAGCTCAACCTTAACAAAAGGCCGTCTGTAAGCCACCATGGACGTCGTCCTCAGATAACTAAAGGCTTCTGGCTCTCCCGACCTTCTGACCCACCTCCAACCCTTTTCCTTGGGCAGCTGGAAGATCTATGCCCCTGGCTTCCCCCGCATGGTGGACGTCAGCAGCTTTGAGGAGATGGAATCCAACAAGAAATTCGCCTTGACCAAGACGACGCCTTGTGCAGACCAGGGCGATGACGGGTGAGGGCCGAGGCTGGGGACAGCCAGGGGAGGGTGTGTTGGGGGCTGGGGCCAGGCAGTGGCAAAGGAAGAGTTGGAGTTTGATATTCAAGTGACAGGAGCTGCAGGGACCAGGGATGCCCCCTCCCCAGGCCATGGTGGGAGGGGGAGTTGGGCAAAGAGGGCAACAGTAAAGGGGTCATCTTAGGGAGGGGAGGAGTGAGGGAGCGGGGGAGGCCTGGGGACCCTCGGGGAGGACCAAGGGAAGGAATTAAGGGAGGTGGGGGGCTGCAGGTCCCACCCCTCATCCCCATCCCACCTCCCGTCTGCAGCAGCGGGGGTCGGTACCTGCCTGGCTTCCCCATGAAGATCGACATCCCGTCTCTGCTGCACATGGAACCCAACATCCGCTACTCGGTCACCAAGACCACCTCGCTGCTCTTCAATGCCATCCCCGCGTGAGGCCCGCCCTCTCTGCTCCCCTACCCACGCTCCCATCTCTCCCGCCCAGTCCCTCCTTCTGCCCTCGGAGATCCCTGTAGCCCTGGCCCCCAGACCTCCTTCCCAGCCCCCAGCCCCATATCGGCTGCCCGTCTCCTCCCAAGTCTCTGTTCTCTGCCCCAGTCCCCCTCCCTCTTTGCTCCCTGGTTCTCTCCCCTCTGCCCTCCATCTGCCCCTCATGCCCCTGGCTCTCTCCTGGGGCTCCCCTTCCTCCATCTCCCCATCCCCCACCTCCTCTTTGCTCCTTCCTCACCACCTTCTTTCCATTCCTCAACCAATCAAACCCACTGAGCAGGGCTGTGCCAGGCAGGTGCAGGGCATGGAGGCTCCGCCCTCAAGTTCTGAGGAGGAGGAGTCATAGCACTCTGGATTCCAGGGCCAGAACCACGGCTTTCCAGCAGTGTGACCTTGATGTTCCTTGCTTGTTGAATGACAGTAGCCGTACCAACCACTGTAGTGTTACAGGAGAAGCAGATGGGGTAGCACCCAGTGCAGAGTAGTGTCTCAATGCACGCTGCTTAGTGGTGGTATAAGGAGATCACCTTGGCCGTGAGGAATTCCCAGCGTCACTAGGGAGGCATCCATGTAATTAATTAGCAACCCGAGGCTCAACAGCAGCTCAAGTCCACAGCTGGGGAGTCTGGGAGCCCCCTGGTTGCCTACAGAAGGGAGTGGCTATCTGAGGCAGGGGGTGGCTCTTGGGGACGAGAGGTGGGGTTGATGCCGGCCTGGGAGAGGAGTAGAGGGGAGGAGGGCGTGTGTGCCCAGTGAGCCCACATCCTTGGCAGGAGCAGGAAATTTAGCTGCCCCCTGAGCGGCGGCCCAAAGGAGGCCAGGCCGGGGAGCTGAGCCCTCGTCTTCTGGGCCTCTTGGAGTTGAGTGGGCGAAGCTCAGGAGGCCTGTGATGTCAGGACTGGGGTGTGCAGGCAGCCCCGCGGCCTCGGGCTTCGGGGCAGGAAGGCCTGGCCGGGCCGTGCAGGGCTGAGGGGCTTCAGGAGCTTCTGTGAGCTGTTCCTGGATGAAGCTGTAGGTCTGGCAGGGGGCTCGGGGAGGCCTGGGCAACCTCAGGGCAGCCAGTACAGGCTCAGGGAAGGGCCAGAGGGAGGCAGGCGTGGTGGGAGTGGGTCTGAGTGTGGGGTCGGTGCGGGTGCAGGTGGGCTGGGGAACGCCCCTTCTCCTGTGTAAGCTCCCTCAGCCTCTGCCTTCCAGACTGAGCTGCTGCCCAAATTTCCCATCTCTCAGGCTGAAAAACCAATTTTTTTCTTTGGAGAAACAGAGAGAGGGAGAGAGAGCTCCCACTACTGGTTCACTCCCCCAAATGCCTGCAATGGCTGGGGCTGCACTGGGCCCAAATCTAGGAGCCAGAAACCCAATGCAGGTCTCCCCACGGAGTCATCAACGTGGCTTCCCAGGGTCCACATTAGCGTGGTACTGGAATCAGGGGCAGAGATGGGCATTGAACTCGGGCATTTGGATAAGGGACATGGGCATCTTAACGCCTGCTCCATCTCCTGGGTTTTGATTGGCAGGCATGCAGCAAATGTTTGCATGAGTGAACACAGGTGATGTTGCCGCTGGGTCTGTCTGATTCCTGATCCACCCCACCCCTGCCACCCCTGCCTTCCCCTGGTGCCCACCAGCGCCTTTGCTCAGCTGACCCTATTGGCCAAAAAACCTGGCTGTTCTGTATTCTATTCTCTTTCCTTTGGTTCAGCCCACTTAGGGAGGGCTTGGTAGGAGCGGGGCAGGTCAGGGCACGCAGAGCCCAGTTCTTGGAGTCTTAGCCAATGAAGACTGTGCACCGTGTTTACGAGGGGACCCCAGGGACGGCGGCGTTTGTGGAAGACCCGATCAAGCAGGTTCATAAGGGAGCTGGCATCTCAAGTGTTAGGGAGAGATGAAGTGAGGTCATGCAGGTTTCATATTAAGCAGTTTTTTTTTTTTTTAAAGATGTATTTATTTACTTGAAAGGTAGAGTTGGAGGGGGTCCTCCATCTGCTGGTTCATCTCCCAGATGGTCATAGTGGCTGGAGCTGGGCTGATCTGAAGCCAGGAGCCAGGTCCAGGTCTCCCACATGGGTGCAGGGGCCCAAGCACTTGGGCCATCCTCCACTGCCTTCCCAGGCCACAGCAGAGAGCTGGCCTGGAAGAGGAGCAACTGGAACAGAATCCGGTGCCCCAACCAGGACTAGAACCCAGGATGCCAGTGCAGCAGGCAGAGGGTTAGCCTAGTGAGCCGCGGCGCCAGCCTCCCACTGCTTTCTCAGGCACATTAGCAGGGAGCTGGATCAGAGCAGCCAGGACTTGAACCGGCACCCATATGGGACGCTGCTGCTGCTACAGTGCTGGGTCCCTTAAGCATTTTTTCTTGATTGTAAAATGTTGCTCACCATAAAAAATGTGAGCAGGAGAGAAACAGCAGTGCAGTGAAGAGCCCTCCCCCCTCGGCCAGCCACCCCCACTCCTAGCAGTCCAGCGTACAAAGCATGTCTCTGGTTGTGTTGGGAGAGCAGGCCTTGTGCCCGTGGAAGGAGGAGATTCTGGGCAGTTGGTAGAAACCAGCGTGTAGGGGGCTTCAAGGGCCGGCCAGACGGGGCAGTTAGGGCTTTGTCCTGCAGGTGAAGGCCACACAGGACACCATGAGGGACACGTGTCCGCATGAGAAGCCATGTGCACCTCCCTGGCACGCACCTGCAGTTACTGCTCCCAGGGGCAAGTGCATCTGAACCGGGCACTCCCGGGGTTCCAGATCTTCCCCCAAGCACCAGACTTCCCTCCCACGTGGGCTGCTGGGCTCTCCTGCTCTGGGGATTGTCCTTGCCAGGCCAGGAGCACAGGGGCCCCCAGCCTCCTTCTCCCCACCCCCTCAGGTCCTTGGGCATGAAGCTTCGAGGGCTGCTGGACCGCAGGGGCTCCTGGAAGAAGCTGGAGGACATCCGCAACATCTTTTGGTGCCACAGGACCTTCACGTCAGGTGGGCAGAGCTGGGCAGGAGATGCCAGTCCTTTCCAACATGGGCTCCCGCCCTTCCTCTGTTTCCCAGCCCTTCCCAGGAAATGGCTGGGTTACTGCCGGAGGGGCTCCTGGCTTTGTTGGTGGTGACCCCCAGACTCTGGCCAGGACCTCAGGCACCCCCTCCGGGGTGGGGGGAGTGAGCACAGAGAGACACTCTGCTCGCCTGGGAGAGAGGGTCGTGGTCATTTAGCAGGTTCCGATTGTCACCAGGGCCACAGAACTCTCTTCCCCTGCTCCTACCCCAGGCATTCTGGGCTTTTGGGCTGGAAAAGCTTGGGTTCTGTCCCTGCCGTGTTCCTTAAGTGGACAGGTCACTATCTCTCTGACCCCCCAGGGCCAGGTATTCAGCGGGAGGTCGACCACGAGTGGCTGGGACAAAAGCCTACGACACAGGAATGTGCGAGGGGCTGGGCAGGATCGGGGGCGGGGCCAGCAGTTTCCACTCTGAGTGGGCCCCTCTCTTGCCCCCCCCCCAGAGTACGTCACGGAGCACTGGCACGAGGACCACTTCTTTGGGTACCAGTACCTGAACGGTGTCAACCCGGTCATGATCCACTGCCTCTCCAGTTTGCCCAGCAAGCTGCCTGTCACCAACGACATGGTGGCACCCGTGCTGGGACAGGACACCTGCCTGCAGATGGAGCTAGAGGTGGGTGAGGCCCTCAGCCGTGGGCCTGGTGGGAAGGAGGCGGCTGGGTTGCCGGTACAGACAAGGCCTGTGTGTGCAGGGTGAGGGTGGGCGGGCCTGGGCCCTGTCTGCCTTGACCCCGCACCTTCCAAGTAGAACAGATCTGGACCAGGGCCTGATGAGGCTTGGGGTGGCTGGCTAGCCCTCCCTGTGTGTTGATTTTGCTGCTGTTGGATACGTGATGGTCAGAACTCGGGAGAGGATTGCACTGGAGTTGAGAGAGTAGGAAGGTATGGAGCGGGGGAGGAGAGGACGCTGGCTTGTACCAGCCAGAGGCCAGGCGGGACTTGCATAAGGAGGGATTCTGCTGGACCTCATTCCAGGCATTCTGGGAGGGGTGGGGTACCCGAGGCTTAGTGCAGGCACCGAGAATTAGTGAGGCCCGGACTGGGGACCTCAGCTCCTTGCTGGGGTGGACATGGGCAGAGAAGGGAGAGGGAAGCGGGGCGCGGGCTGGGGAGGGCTCTCTAAGGCCCTGTGCCCCTTCTCCAGAGGGGGAACATCTTCCTAGCTGACTATTGGATCCTAGCCGAGGCCCCGGTCCACTGCCTTAATGGCCACCCGCAATACGTGGCCGCACCGCTCTGCCTGCTGTGGCTCAACCCCCAGGGGGCGCTGGTACCCTTGGCCATCCAGGTGAGCCTGGGGGCGGGGCTTCTGGGGTGGGGCCTTGGGGAGCAAACCGCCTTGAGCTCCACCTCTTCATCACACTTGGATGCAGCTGAGCCAGACCCCCGGGCCCGAGAGCCCCATCTTTCTGCCCACCGATTCCGACTGGGACTGGCTGCTGGCCAAGACGTGGGTGCGCAACTCGGAGTTCCTGGTGCACGAGAACAACACGCACTTCCTGTGCACGCATTTGCTGTGCGAGGCCTTCTCCATGGCCACCCTGCGCCAGCTGCCGCTCTGCCACCCCATCTACAAGGTCTGCGCGGCCCCGGGACGGGAGCACGGGGGCAGGGGCAGCCTGGGAGGCCTGCTCCTGGGATCTGGGCCTCACGTGCCCTCCCGCCTTGCTCCGCTCCGCACGCAGCTCCTGCTCCCGCATACCCGATACACGCTGCAGGTGAACACCATCGCCAGGGCAACGCTGCTCAACCCCGAAGGCCTTGTGGACCAGGTGCGTCCTCCCACGCCCCTGAGGCGCTCTGCCCTGCCCCTCCCACAAGCCCTGCTCTGCTCCCAGGCTCCCTCCCTTGCCACAAACCCTGCCCCCTCCACAGTCCCCTCCTTGTCCCCGCCCTCCGGCCCCATCTGCTCTCTTCAAACCGTTTCCACTGGCTGGGCAGCCCGAGCCCCGGCGCTACCCTCTGCTTTTCAAGTTCATCATTTAGGTGGCAAACACCCAGGAGCTCCTCGTGTGCGCATAGTAGGGCCGCAACCTGCACAGCCCGCTCCAGGGAAGCCCCCTGTGGGCTTTGGATCCGTGGTCGTGGGCGGCCTGGTTATACCCGGCGTCATTAGCCTCTTCCCACTCCACGCACCGGGGTGGGCAGTGGGCGGATGGAGGAGCCGGGCTGTGCCGTGTCCGCAGGTCACGTCCATCGGGAGGCGAGGCCTCATCTACCTCATGAGCACCGGTCTGGCCCACTTCTCCTACACCAACTTCTGCCTGCCCGACAGCCTGCGGGCTCGCGGCGTCCTAGCCATCCCCAACTATCACTACCGTGACGACGGCATGAAGATCTGGGCGGCCATTGAGAGGTGTGGTTGGGTCCCGGCCGCCCCTCCAGCCGCCCTGTGCTGATCCTGGGGCGGGGAGGGTGTGGGGACAGGGGATGCGGGGGTGGGGGGGGCGGGAATTGCAGTGAAGGGGAGGTGGCTGTGAGCTGGAGAGGGCCGGAGTGTGAATGCAGGGGAGGGAGGGAAGGAGAGGGTGGGGGAGGAGGTAGAGGGTCAGTGTGGGTGCGGGGGCTAAGGGTGCCCCAGGCCTCCAGGCTGGCGGGGCGGCCTCCCCCTGGTTGCTGATAGAGGGGGCAGGGCCAGGAGGACCCAGCGGTGGTTGTCCCTCAGTATCCTTTCCCCCAGACCTGGTGACTCAGCAGTTAAGGGACACCTGGGTCCTCAAGTTCCAGCCGTGCACCTGTTCCCCAGCCCGTGTGCCGTGAGCTTTAGTGCTCTGGCCAGGCCTGAGCCCTGGGCTCTTCTCTGGGGCCCCAGCATCTCTCTCCTGCAGCTTTGTCTCGGACATCGTGGGCTACTATTACCCCAGCGAGGCCTCCGTGCAGCAGGACTCGGAGCTGCAGGCCTGGGTCGGCGAGATTTTTGCTCAGGCGTTCCTGAGTCGGGAGAGCTCAGGTAACCCCAGTGTGTCCCCACCCCCTCCCTACTCCGCCCGCCTCACCCCCACCCCGTTAACCAGTCCTCACTTACTGCCCACGGAGCAGAGGAGGAAGCGAGCACGGGGAAGGTTGCAGAGGCAGGATTCAGAGCCCTCCCCTGAGGTCTCCAAAGCCCGGCTTTCACCCACGACCCTTTGCCCCTCACAGTCCACTTTTATCTGGGCCCGTCTGTTCCCTCCAGCTGGCTGAGTTCCGTGTAAGCCCTGCTCCACGTGGCGGGAGCCAGGTCTTGAGTTCAGAGGATCCGGACCCTCCTCTCCTGCCTGTTGTGCCTTGTCTGGCCAGGCGGCCGGTCCGGCCACCAGCCTCTCTTCATCGCTTTGTCTGCAAGCCTCTGCATGGAGGGTGTTGGTCTTGCTGCTTGCTGCCTGATTGGTCACATACTGACACTTGTCACGTACTGTACCTCTCCCCGTCTTTTGACTCTGCGGAGACACCTCTCCAAGTGGCCCCTTTTAGTCTCCTGCCCTTTAACCAAACTCACGCACTAGAGCATTTATTTGCCAAAGAGTGAGAGAGAGTGAGTTTCCATCTTGGTTCACTCCCTAAATGCCTGCAGCAGCCAGGGCTGGCCTAGGCTGAAGCCAGGAACCAGAAATTCCATCTGGGTCTCCTACATGGGTGGCAGGGGCCCAAGAACTTGGGCCATCACTTTATCACCTGCTGCCCCCCAGGGTGTGCATTAGCAGGGAGCTGGAATCAGAAACAGAACCAGGACTCAGACCCAGGCACCCTGACGTCAGATGTGGACATCGCAAACCACATCTGAGCCACTGTGCCAAGTGCCTGCCCCCACCCTCCTTTCTTCAATGTCTTCCCTTAGCTCCGGGGAGGATTTGCCCTTCTGATGCCCTGTTTCTCCCTGGGGCCCGCTGTCTCCCCCTCCCAGCCCACCGCTTGTCCTGGCTCTCAGCCTCCTTTCTCTCCCCTCCCCCATGGAGTGGCCTCTCTCTTATCTCTCCTCTGAAGCTTTCCAACTCAGAACTCTCAGAACTCTCTCTTTCCAAACTCAGAACTCTCTCCCCAAGCCCCCGCTCACTGTCCCCAGGAGGATGTTCCTTTTGGCGTCTCCTTGTCATCGTGAAGACCAGCTCGGGCAAGCCAGGTGATCCCACTATAGAAAGACTTTTGACCTTGCCTGAAGTATCCATCCCATTTCCACCTTCCTGACTCCTCGGGCCCCTGCAACGCGCGGTCTGTACTCCAAGCCCCAGAACGTAGAAGAGGCTTCCATGACAGCAGAGGAAGCAGTGCAGAAGCCCAGAGCAGCACAGATGTCTGACCTGTGACCCGGGGCAGTGCTGGGGCTCAGTGCTTCTGGTGGGGCGTGAGGAGCTCCTGTCTCAGCCACCTCCACACAGAGCGAGCAGCTGTGGCAGCTCCACCACAGTGGGTTCAGGGGCTTTTCTTGTAAACAACGGTGCTCCAATATGCAGAAAAGGAGAGTGGGAGGGTACTTCCAAAGTTCTTGGGAAATGGAACCGAGGGATTATTTTGGGGGCTAGCCCTGTGGTGCAGCAAGTTAAGCCGCCACCTGTAATGCCGGCATCCCATATGGGCGCTGGTTCAAGTCCTGGCTGCTCCCTGCTGATGCTCCAGGGAAAGCAGCAGAAGACAGCCCAAGTCTTTGGGCCCCTGCACCCGGATGGGAGACCCGGAAGAAGCTCCTGGCTTCGGACTGGTCCAGTTCTGGCCATTGCAGCCATTTGATAAGTAAACCAGTGGATGGAAGACCTCTCTCTCTTTCTGTCCTCTCTCTAACTCTTTCAAATAAATATTAAAAAAAAAAATAACGATTATTTTGGTGCACAATTTCTGGAATCCATGTGTAGTCTTTTTATTATATGCATTTTCATGAGCTTTTTGAAGACTCCTCTCCCCCATTTGCATGGATTTCAATTTTTTGGCACCAAAATAAACATCGTTTAACTCCATTTTCCACAATTTTTTATAAACTTGTCTTTTAATGCTATTTCTCCACAAGTTTTTAAAACTTTATTTGAGAGAGAGAGAGAGAACACTCACATCTAGTGGTTTGCTTCCCAAATGCCTGCCATGGACAGGACTGAGCTGGGCCGAGCTGAAGCTGGGAGCCGAGAACTTGACCCAGGTCTCCCACATGGGCAGCAGGAGCCCAGTGCCTCAAGCCATCGCCGCTGCCCTCCAGGGTCTGCGTTAGCAGGCAGCTGGAGTCGGAGCCAGAGCTGCATTGGAACTTAGGTGCTGTGATATGGGACATGGGCCTCCCTCTCCACAGACTTTTTGCGTAATAGGCACCCACTTACCTCCAACAATTGCCAGTATTTTGTCATATTTGGTTATTTCTGGCTTATGTATTGCCCAAGCCTTTTAAGGTGAATCATCAAATTGTATACCTAATCAATATGCAACTGTAAAAATGACATTTAAAAAAATTTTATTTGAAAGGCAGAGTTACAGAGAGAGAGATGGGGGGGGCAAGAGAGAGAGAGAGAGAGAGAGAGATCATCCATCTGCTGGTTCACCCCCCAGATAACCACAAGAGCTAGGTCTGGACCAGGCCAAAGCCAGGAGCCTGGAGCTTCCTCCAGGTCTCCCACATGGGTGCTAGGGGCCCAAGCACTTGGGCCATCTTCTGCTTTTCCCAGGCCATAGTAGGGAGCTGGTTGGGAAGTGGGGCATTCGGGACATGAACTGGGCGCCCACATGGGATGCCGGCATCGCAAGCGGTGGCCTTAACCTGCTATGCCACAATGCCGGCCCCACAACGACATTTCCTACACAGCCAGAGTAGCGCCAGCATCACACTTCCCAGAACTGACAATGGTCTCAGGGACACCCTCATATCTGGGCCACACTCCGGTTTCTCCACTTGTCCCGTTCTCCCCCAGTGGATCCTGTTGATTCAGGAGCCGGGGCAGGACCGCGTGTTGTGTGGTTTCGGTTTTGTCCTCTAAGGTCTCTTTGAATTTGGAACAAGGCCTCTGCCTTCTGCTTTTAAAAGTTGCCCGATATGCACTTATATAAGAGTCCAGGGCACTTATATAAGAGTCCAGACTGGTTGTCCTGTTGGTGCCCCACCCTCTGAGTTTGTCTAATTGCCTCGTTCGGCTTGTTCTCTGCATCCTGTGGATTTTGCAGACTGGACATAGTATCAATACGTTAAACGTTTTTGGCAAGAATCTGGCTCAGGTGATGCCGTGTCCCCCGTGTTGCATCATGCTGGGAGGGAGGCGTGTGAAGTCAGCTTGTCTCACCATCAGGGAGGCCAGAAGTGACTTCTCGGTTAAGGTGGTGACAGCCACATCCCTGGTTTTTTTTTTGTTTTGTTTTTTTTTGTTTTTTTTTTTTTTTTTTTTTTTTGACAGGCAGAGTGGACAGTGAGAGAGAGAGAGAAAGGGAGAAAGGTCTTCCTTTGCCGTTGGTTCACCCTCCAATGGCCGCTGCGGCCGGCGTGCTGCAGCCGGTGCACCCGATGATCCGAAGGCAGGAGCCAGGTGCTTCTCCTGGTCTCCCATGGGGTGCAGGGCCCAAGCACTTGGGCCATCCTCCACTGCACTCCCTGGCCACAGCAGAGAGCTGGCCTGGAAGAGGGGCAACTGGGACAGAATCCGGCGCCCCAACTGGGACTAGAACCCCGTGTGCCAGTGCCGCAAGGTAGAGGATTAACCTAGTGAGCTGCGGCGCCGGCCTCTGTTGGGTTTTTAAGAGGATGACCCTTCCCTGTGTTTTGCAAACCTGCTGTTCATCACGAGCCATCCTGATTCTCTCTGCTTCTCTCCCTAGGGCGATCGTTTCTTATTTGGAGGGATCTGTTTCCTATTTGAGACCCAGAGGGGCATCTCGGTACTGGTGATTTAATTCTATCTGTATTGATTAGGAATTTATTTTCAATATCTGAAAGACAGTGGACACACACACACACACACACACACGGGAGAGGGTCTCCCATCCCCTGGAGACTCGCCAGAAGTCTGCACTGGGCCCAGACCAAAGCCAGGAGCTGGGAACTCAGTCTGGGTTTCCCCAAAGAGGTGGCAGAGACCCAACCACTTAAGCCGTCACTGCCGCCTCCCAGGGTGTGAAGCTGGAATCAGGAGTGGAGTCAGGACTGGAATCAGGCCCTCTGAGATGGAGTGTGGGCGTCCCGAGCAGTGTTCTAACTGCTGTGCCAAATGCCTGCCCACCATCTTTATTAAACTTGCCTCTGATTTAATACAGCAGCACGTTCTACAGGTTGATACACCTCTTCCAACCGCTGTAAACTTATTATTCTAGATTCATATGTAAGAGCACTTCAGAAAGTTCATGGAGGGGTAGGCATTCGGCGTAGCAGCTAACATGCGCCCTTGGGTTGCCTGCGTCCACGGTCAGAGGGCCTGGAGTTCCATCCTGGCCTCCCTTGTGGGTGCAGGGGCCCACGTGCTTGGGCCATCTTACTGCTGCTCTCCCAGGCACATTAGCAGGGAGCTGGATAGGGAGCCAGGCAGCCAGGACTTTAACAGGCACTCCCATGTGGGATGCTGGCATCCCAGGAGGTGGGTCTACCCCACTGTACCACAATGCTGGTTCTGCTCCCCTGCGTCCCATCCAGCTTCCTGCCAAAGAGCACCCTGGGAGGCAGCAGTGGTAGCTCCAGTACTTAAGTTCCTGCTACAGAAGTGAGAGGCCTAAATTGCAATCTGGGCTCCTGGCTTTGTCCTGGGCCAGCCCTGGCTCTTGTGGGCATTCGAGGAGTGAACCAGTGGATCAAAGATCTCTTTATGTCTGGCTCTATGTTTTTCTGCCTTTCAACTAGAATGAAAATAAATAATAATAATAAATAACACTAATTTTTAAAAAGTTTATGGTGCCGCGGCTCACTAGGCTAATCCTCCGCCTTGCAGCGCCGGCACACCAGGTTCTAGTCCCGGTCGGGGCACTGGATCCTGTCCCAGTTGCCCCTCTTCTAGGCCAGCTCTCTGCTGTGGCCTGGGAGTGCAGTGGAGGATGGCCCAAGTGCTTGGGCCCTGCACCCCATGGGAGACCAGGAGAAGCACCTGGCTCCTGCCATCGGATCAGCGCAGTGCACCAGCCACGGCGGCCATTGGAGGGTGAACCAACGGCAAAGGAAGACCTTTCTCTCTGTCTCTCTCTCTTACTGTCCACTCTGCCTGTCAAAAAATAAATAAATAAATAAATAAAAAGTTTATGGAAAAGTAGAATCAAGATAACTTTTATGCAAAATTTTTGAAATCCATGCAGTTTTTTCATAATACTCATTTCCATGATTTTTTTAATATCTCCTATGCATGGGTTTCAGATGTTTTTGCAATAAAATAAGCTTCTCTCTTGATTAACTTATCTTTGATGAGACTTTCTATGAACTTTTTACTTATTTGAAAGGCAGAACAACACACACACACATACAAATCCTCCATTCACGGGCTCACTCCTTTAAATGGGTACAACAGCCAACTCTGGGTCAGGCTGCAGCCAGGAGCCAGGAACCCCATCCAGGTCTCAAACAAGGTTGGCAAGGGACCTGCTGCCTCCCAGGGTGTGCATTAGCTGGATTAGAAGCAAAGCAACCAGGACTCAACCCAGGTGCTCTGATATGCCATGCTAGTGTTGCAAGTGGCAGCTTAACCTGCTACACAACACCAGCCCCAGTACCCTTGTATTGAAAAGCAAAACACACTCAGTAACCCCAGTCAGTCTGGCTTTGTTTCAAGGGGAGGAAAACGCACAGACAGATTTACTTCTTTATTCCTAGCCTCCCAGATGAGACCAGCAACCCCAATGGAACTTTTGGAAAATTCCCTCACGCTCCCAGGCAGACGCCAGGTCCCTTCTCCGGACCCCCCTCTCTCTTCTGCTGCGTTACCTTCCCTTCACTGAACCCGACTCCAAACCATGGAGCCCTCCCTGACTCCTGTTCCCCTCTCTGTCTTCCTGAATCCAGCTGGGCGGCCAAGCCCTGCGTCCTTCCCATTTCCATGGTCACCATCCTGCTCCCTGTCCTCACGACAGCTGCTTCCCAACCAGCTCTCCCTCTGCCAGGCACCTGCTGTTTGCTCACCAAGCCTGTGGGGCCACAGCCCTGCTAATCCCCTGCAATGCTGCCCAGGGCTCCCCAGCCCCAGCTCCACGGCTGCCCCGCCACCCACGAGTGCCCTCCCCGAAGTGTCTCACTCCCGTGTGTATCAGCTGCATCCCGCCCGTGACCACTGGGCTCTTAAGATTTATTAACTATTGTTCTAGGTGCTGGGGGTTAGCAGTGAGCAAGACAGACAAAACTCCTGGCCTTCCCAGAGCTGAGCATCCTCTTGGGGGTGGGAGACACAGAGAGCCAAGAAACACAGATGGTGGGTAGTTATGCAAGCCAAGAAGAAACTCCGGCCAGCATCAGGGGTCATCTCAGAGAGGAGCTGACCCTCGAGTGGAGACCTGGGGGAGGTGAGGGACTCACTCTTGGGATGACTGGGGCCAGCCGATGCAGGCAGAGGTGAAGGAGGGATGAAGGCCCTGAGGTCCAAGCTTGCTGGCCTGTGTGGCTACAGTGAGTGAGAGGGAGGAAAGCCGAGAAGGGAGTGAGCTCTGAGAGGGGCTGGGGCCAGCTGCAGCAGGGTGGGGTAAGGCGAGTGAGATGGACAGCCCCCCACCCCGGGTCTGAGTGAGGAGTGCCCTCATCTGAGGATTTTAAAGGGACCCTCTGGCTGGTGCGTGCAGAACGGGCTGTAAGGCACTGAGGTGGTGACTCTTGGCCGGTCTGTGTGGTGTGAGGGCAGGGATTTGGGCCTGAGTGACTGGATAGAGTCCAAGTACCCCTTCTTTGTACCCCGGGAAATTTGTTCTGGGACCTCGTTGGATAAATCCCTGGAGGCTCAAGTCCCTTCTACAAAATGACAAACTGTCCTTGTATTTGCATATCACGTACACAGTCCTCCCCTGTGTTGTATAATGGCTTGCAATCCCTAATAGGATGTAAATGCTATGTAGATAGTCGTTCTGCTGTGTTGTGTGGGAGTGACAGGTGTGAAAAAAAAATCTGCACATTGTTCACTATGGATGCAGGTTTCTCCTGGATGTTTTTGGCTCTGGTTGGTTGAATTCACTGAGATGGAACCCCCCGGATGTGGAGGGAGCTGCTGCGGGAGGGCCTGGTTTGGAGAGTGTGTATGGGGGGATTGGGAGTCAGGGATCTGGTTTCATAAACGTTAGCTTGGCGATGCCCACTGCCAAGGCTGCAGCCCAGGAGCTGGGAGCAGCCAGAGGTGTGATTTGAGAGTTGTCAGTGAGTGACAGGCTTGGGTAAGATTGGTGAGGGGCAGAGAGAAGTGCACGGAAGGCTGACCCCTGGAGCTCTTCTCTGTCTTTCCCCTCGCCTCCACCCCACCCCCCTTCAATGTTCACCCCCTTCTCCCGGAAGATCGCCCCCCACCAACTGCTCTGTCCTCCCAGCTTTCTCTGCATGCATCCCTGGAGCTTCCGAGGTGTGCTCTCTGTGGTCGCCTGTGTCTGCTACTCAGATCTTGGTGAACTGGGCAGAATTACATCCTTGGGTGCTACTGTGGGCTGCAGCTGGGAGTGCTTTGGAATTAGGGGAGAGGCAGCTTGGCGCTAGGCTGGAACCCAGTTCTATCAGAAGCCCTGGTCAGATCCCAGCGCCCAGGTCCTATCCCATCCCCCTTCAGAGACCAGAAGCTGTCTCCAACCCTGACCTTGGTGTCAAGACAGCTGTGGCGAAACAATCAGCCCTCACCCTCTCACTGTCCCCCCGACGCTGAACCCCGGCCCCGAGCTGCCCCCAGGAATCCGGTACCCTCCATCCACACCCTGCTCCCTCCCTCCCACACCCAGGCTTCCCAAGCCGGCTGTGCACCCCAGCAGAGCTGGTGAAGTTCCTCACCGCAATCATCTTCAACTGCTCCGCCCAGCACGCGGCTGTCAACAGCGGGCAGGTGAGGCTGCACGGGGCCGGCCCGGGGTATCAGGTTCCGGTGCCGCCGTGGACTGGAGACCAGAGTTGAGGAGGAAAGCTGGAGTGGCACCAGTGGGGGGCTGTGTTGGAGGTGACGGCTGGGTGTAGTGGCGACTCCAGTTGGGAGCAGAGCTTACGGGTTCCTGTCATGGTTGGGACCCAGCCATATTGCTCTGTGCGGTGTATCAGCCCAGGGCCCTCTCTAGAATGTCCCCCCTCTCCCTTCTGGGGACCACTCCACCGGGCCTGGAACCTGGGTGGGGAGTGATGGGGGTGACTTCTGCCCCACTTCCGGGACTTTCCACCCGGTACCCCATCCTCCGCTTCCTCTCAGCAATCCCCTTGCTTCCCCACTGCAAGGCCTGGGCTGGTTGGGATCAGGGGTGATGAAGAGGGAGCCGGTCCTCCTGCTCTGGCCAGCTGATTCAGCCAGGCTGGGGGTCTCCACAGCATGACTTTGGGGCCTGGATGCCCAACGCTCCATCCTCCATGAGGCAGCCCCCACCGCAGACCAAGGGGACCACCACCCTGAAGAGTTACCTGGACACCCTCCCGGAAGTGAACATCACCTGTAACAACCTCCTCCTCTTCTGGTTGGTCAGCCAAGAGCCCAAGGACCAGGTGTGTGTGTGGGGGGGGTGGCTGGGTGAGAGGGATGGGGCTCCACCGTGGAGGTGGTCAAGGCTATTGCTGGGGGTATATGGGACTGGCGGCTGGGGTTTACGCCCACAGCTGCTGCCTGGGGTACTTCTGATTCTCCACGAGATGGTAATCGACCCCCAGAGGCAGACATTGAAACAAGTACCAGTGGAGTGGCTGGGTCACAACTTCTATGCAACCCATAAGTTTACTGGTCCATCCGTCCCATCCCTTCACCCATCAATCATTCATCCAAACATTGCACAAGCATTTGGGGGTGCCTACCACCTGGCAGCACAGCCCCAGACCCTCAGGCATTCAGGGTTGAGCGAGACCTCCCTGCCTCCAAGAAGCCTGTGGTCCAGCTGATGAGACACACAAGTAAATGCAAAAGGGCACCGCGCATTTTAGGATCACTTATGTGTTAAGTCCTCCACTCAGCATGTACTTCCGAAGCACCTGTGGTGCGTGCCAAGCACGTGGTAGGGTAGCTATGATCTTGCCTTGTGAGCTTACAGTCTAGCGATGGAGGTGAGGATGAGGCCCTGTGGAATCTAACTGGGTCCAGGAGAACCCAGGAATGCTCCCTGGAGGGCGTGGCTTCTAGGCTGAAATCTGTGGGACCAGCAGGAGTCTGGCAGACAAAGGAGGGGCAGGGTTTGTTTCTAGGCAGAAGAAAGGGCTTGACCAGGCAGTGAAGGCGAGAGAGCGCAGTGTGCACTATACGATCACAAATGGTTCAGGCGGCGAAGTAGCAGGGTGTGGAGGAAGACAGGGCACGGTGTTTGTTTAGGGGACCGCAGGGGCCCAGGCAACGTGGATAAAGTAGTTGTAGCAGGGGAGCTCCCGGGGCCGTGTGAATGAGTGAGGGGCAGTCTCAGAGGCGGCCGCACAGGTGAGGCCAGCCCTTTACGTCACCGGTCACCACTGACTCCGTTTCCGCGTTGCGTGCGCAGCCAGGCCTCTGCCTTTTTGGTCTTGTTTGCAAATTCCCTGAGCTGTGAATATCCTCATTTCCCACCCCGAGTCTGTTGGTGCTGGGAAGACTGCAGCCGTTGTATCTTTGTGTCAGGATCTGACTTGGCAACCTGTGCCCTGGGAATGGCAGGAACTTGTGCTGGGTCCTTCCCCTTGCTGGTGTAGGCTGAGTAGGCAAGAGGTTGAACATGAGGGCGTTAGCGCACCACGTGGGATGCCCACAGCCCCTTCTGGACGCCTGGGTTTGCGTCTTGGCTCTGCACACCACGTGGGATGCCCACAGCCCCTTCTGGACGCCTGGGTTTGCATCTTGGCTTTGCTTCTGGTCTAACTTCTTGCTTGTGTGCATACTCGGGCAGTAGGTGATGGCTCAAGTCCCTGGGTCCCTGCCACCCACGTCAGAGTTCCCAGCTCCTGGCTTCGGGCTGGCCCAGCCCTGGCTGTTGCTGGCATTTGATATAAACTAGTGGAGGCAAGATCTCAGTCCATCTCTGTTTTCAAATAAGAACATAAATAAATAAATATTTTAAAGGTAAGAGGATGGGAGAGAGGGTTCCCACCTCATAAACCAGTGAGAAGTTTATTTATTTAAGAGGGAGGGAGGGAGGGGGAGAGAGAGAGAGAGAGAGAGATTTCCTATCTGCTGGTTCACTCCTCAAACGCCCGAAATGGGCAAGGAGTAGGACTCAACCCAGATTGCCCACGTGGGTGGCAGAAACCCGATGACTTGAGCCATCACTGCTGCTTTCCAGGGCCTTTGGTGTACATACATATTTTTAATTTAAATATTTATTTATTTATTTGATATTTATTTATTTATTTGAGAGGCAGAGTTGGTTCACTGGTTCATCCATTGGTTTGCTCCCCAAAATGGCTGCAACCACCAGAGCTGGTCAGGAACTTCCCCCGGGTCTCCTATGTAGGTGCAGGGGGCCAAGGCCTTGGGCCATCTTCTGCTGCTTTCCCAGGCTATAGCAGAGAGCTGGATCGGAAGGGGAGCAGCCGGGACACAAACTGGTGCCCATAAGGGAGGCTTTGCCCGCTATGCCACAGCGCCAGCCCCACTTGGGGTCTAACAGCAGCAGTAATAACAGCAGCTGTCACTTGTTGAGGCTCTGTCATGTTGCATCAGAAGTTTTGTGTACATTATCTTCCAGCACAAAACAAGCAGCTGTATTTAAATGCTCAGTGCAGTGCTGGCCCATATGCTCAGTAATGGTGGCTTCTGCAGAGTAGAAAGCAGAACCCGGAGGAGTAAGGAATCTGCTCACCGTCCCAGGAAGCAGGTTTGGAATCCAGTGTGTCGGATTTCTGGGTTCTGCTTTTTGATGTCTACACTACAGTTATGAGATGTCAGCCTGGTAGATACAATGTAAGCTACAGACGATTCTAAGAGAGAGAGAGAGGGAGAGGGAGAGAGAGGGAGAAGGGGAGGGAGAGAGGGGGAGAGAGAGGGAGAGAGAGGGAGAGAGGGAGGGAGAGGAGGAGAGAGAGGGAGAGAGGGAGGGGGAGCGGGGGAGAGGGAGGGGGAGGGGGAAGAGGGGGAGAGAGGGAGGGGGAGGGGGGAGAGGAGGAGAGAGAGGGAGAGAGGAGACAGAGAGAGAGGGAGGGGGAGAGGGAGAGAGGGAGAGGGGGAGAGAAAGGGAGAGGGGGAGAGAGAGGGAGAGAGGGAGAGAGAGGGAGAGAGGGAGAGGGGGGAGAGATGGGGAGAGAGGGGGAGAGAGGGGGAGAGAGGGGGAGAGAGGGAGGGGGGAGAGAGGGGGAGAGGGGGAGAGAGAGGGAGAGAATTCCTAACACACAGCATTAGGAAAGGAATGGCATTCGGCCACAAATACAGAGAAGGCTTTGAAACTTGTAAGAAAATACCATTTACAGTTTTATGCAAACAAATTTGGAAATCTACATCGAATGAATTACTTCCTAGGAAAACAAAAACAATCAAAACTGAACTCCGGAAGAAATGAAAATCACACACAAGTGTCAGCGGTCCCAGGAGACCTGATTTCTAAAGAGACTGTGGCAGAAGTAACCCCCTAGTCAGACTGAGAGCAGAGAAAACGCTAGAAGCTTCCGCAGGCGGGTTCCTGGTGGCAGAACCTGACAGCAGCACCCACAGCGATAATGCACTTCAAAAAGGGAGGACTGAAGACAGGGCTGTAATCCCGGGCCCACACTTCTTCCGCGGCGACCCCGGCTCTGTAATTTGGCCTCCCTGGGCCTCCATTTCCCCGTCTTTAAAGTGGGGATGATAAGAGGACCCGTCCCAAGGGTTCCTGTGAGGCCGCGATGGTCCCTGTGAGGTGCTTACATGTTAGCTGTCATTAAGAAAATGAAATTATAAAGTCGCCCCACTTAGCTACTGTCTTACATCAGCTGATAAAGGCCCATAGTGGGCAGTAAAACAATAATAACACGCCACGACAAAGACTGTACCTGGGGAGTGGAGGCAATGAAAGGCTGCTTTGACCTTGTGAAATCTCCTTACCCCAATAAAGAGGCCACCGTATAATCACCCTAATGTACACCGAAAAAGCATTTGACAAATGTGAAAGGCCATTGCTAATAAAAACTCGGTGTACAATGACATCCTTTTTTTTTTTTTAAGATGTATTGATATATTTGAAAGGCAGAGTGACAGAGAGAGGGAGAGACGGAGATCTTCCATCTGCTGGTTCACTTCCTGTCTTGTGGCCCATCTTCTGCTGCTTTGCCAGGCACACTAGCCGGGGGCTGGACCCGAAGTGGAGCCGCCTGGACTCCAGCCGCTGCTCCTATGGGATGCCGGTGGTGTCACAGGTGGTGGCTGACCTCGCTGCGCCACAACACTGGCCCACAATGATATTTTCTTAAGGGATTTTGATAAAATATGTATTTGAGGGGCAGACATTTGGTTCAATGGTCGAGACACTGCTTGAGATGCCCACATCAGGCGCTAGAATGCCTGGGTTTCACCCTGGCTACATTCTTTCCAGTTTCCTGTAAGTGCACACCCTGGGAGGTAGGAGGTGATGGCTCAAGTAGTTGGGGTCCCTGCTCCCCATGTGGGCGGCCTGGGTTGCGTTCCAGATCTTAGCTTTGGCCTGGCCCAGGCCTGCCTGTGTCAGGCATTTGGGGAGTGAATCAGTGGGAGGAAGATCTCTATTTGTCTCTGTCTCTGTCTTCCTGGCAAATAAATACATTTATTTAATACAAAATAAATACTATAACTTTTTTTATTACTTTTCACAAAAGATTTAGTTTATTTATCTGAAAGGCATAAAGAGTGACAGAGAAAGGAGAGAGAGGTCTTCCATCTGCTGGTTCACTCCCCAGATGGCCTCAACAGCCGGAACTGTGCCAATCCAAAGCCAGGAGCCAGGAGCTTCTTCCAGGTCTCCAACGCAGGTGCAGGGGCCCAAGGACTTGGGCCATCTTCTACTGCCTTCCCAGGCCATAGCAGAGAGCTGGATGGGAAGTGGAGCAGCCGGGACTCGAACCAGCGCCCATATGGGATGCCGGCGCTTCAGGCAGGGCTTTAACCCACTGCAGCACAGCGCCCGCCCCCATACATTTATTTTTTAAAAGTGCGTTCAGAAAACACACTCCTTAGGTTGAAACAGTAGAGGCCTATTAAAATCAGGGACAAGAAAAAAATGCCCACTATTATTGCTATGTGTAACACTGATCTGGAAGGCTTTGCCAACACGATACAGCAAGAAAACTAATTTTAAACGCAGTCGTGTCGGCAACAGTTACACCGCACGAAGGGCACGGCAGTGGGGACGCGGCTGCTGGGCAGGAGGCTGGCCAGCCGTGGGTCGCGTTCTCGGACAGCCTTGATGAAGCTCAGCGAGACACCTGTCCAGAGCCGCTGCGTGCCGTGTCGGTCACTGCTGAGGGCCTCAGAGCCAGGACGCTGCTGGTCTCTGGGTGGAACTGTGTGTGTGGCCGGGAGGCCGTGGCGGCCGCGCCCTGGCCGCGTGCGTGGGGGTCGGCTGCATTCTCCCTCGCAGGGCACCTGCCCGGCCCCGGAAGGGAGAGTTCTCCCGTCCACTTAGACGCAGGCGCTGGGGGCTGAGGGGTCGCAGCAGCACAGAGCAGATCCCGGCCGACGAGGCACTGGGCAGGGGCTGCCTGTCCCAATCTCGCTGGGTTCCTGCACAGGGGGCTGGGGGGCCGTTCCGTGTCAGGCCGCAGAGAGCGACTGGGTTTGCACCTGCCTTCATCGTCCCCGCCCCGTTTTCTCGCAGAGGCCGCTGGGCACGTACCCGGATGAGCACTTCACGGAGGACGCCCCGCGGCGCAGCATCGCCGCCTTCCAGAGCCGCCTGGCCCAGATCTCGAGAGACATCAGGGAGCGGAACCGGGGCCTGGCGCTGCCCTACGCCTACCTGGACCCGCCGCTCATCGAGAACAGCGTCTCCATCTAACGCGTCCCCGTCCCACCCCACGGGAGAGGACGGGGAAGCTGCTCAAGGGTGCCCAGACCCTCCCCCTCCTTCCTGAACCTTCTGTCTGCACGTGGGACCATTGCCCGCCCAGATGGCCCCTGCATCACTGGAGCTGGGCCCTGGGCTGTGAGAGCCCCGTGGAGCAGCTCGGAAAGGAAGGAGCCCCTTCACCTTGCCCTCCTGTGGACAGGCTCCTGGTCCAGCCCCTGGGGCACTCAGCCGCCTCCCGTGGGCATCCCCAGCTGGGTTCCTGAGCCCCTTCCCAGGCCTCTTCCTCCCCCCACCCCCAGCAGGTCCTGCAAGCCCGGGAGTGAGCAGCTCAGCGTCCCTGGGGAAGAACCTGGCAGCTGGGCACAGCCGGGGTGGGCGCCTGTAGGGGAGGAGGAGAGTTGGACTCAGCTCACTGGGGCTGGCAGCAGCAGGTCCCAGCCCCAGCTCGTTGGCCTGGACGTGGGTACGGGGCTCTCAGCCTGCCCCCCCTCAACGCTTTTCCCTCTTCTGTGTCCTTGAGCCCAGTGAGTTCAATAAAAACCAACACAGTAGGCTCTCCTTCCATTTTTCTCTTAAAGTGATACATACAAACCGCACAGGAATTGTGGCACGAGGGGTTGGTTAGGCCACCACTTGTGGTGCCAGCATCCCATATCAGATGGCTGGTTCAAGTCCCGGCTGCTCCACTTCCCATCCAGCTCCCTGCTTAGGCACGTGGGAAGGCGGCAGAAGATGGCTCAAGTGCTTGGGCCCCTGCCACCCACGAGGGAGACTTGGATGGAGTTCCTGGTCCCTGGCAGTTGTGGCTGTTTGGGGAGGGAATCAGTAGATGGGAGAGAGCAGTCTCTCTCTTTTTCTTGTACTCTGATGCTCTGCCTTTCAAATAAATAAACTGGCCAGCGCTGCGACTCACTAGGCTAATCCTCTGCCTTGCGGCACCGGCACAGCGGGTTCTAGTCCTGGTCGGGGCATAGCAGCCATTGGAGGGTGAACCAACGGCAAAGGAAGACCTGTCTCTCTCACTGTCCACTCTGCCTGTCAATAAATAAATTGCTTAAGAAAAACTATATATGGGTGAGTGTCGGTACTTGTATGTGTTGTGTAGTGTGCAAATCTACCTCTGCAAGCCTTTCTTTATGGTGAAAACATTCAAAATCTTTTCTTCCAGCTTTTGAGATAAAGTATACATACAGGGGCGGGCGTGTGCTTGCCATGCCCACAGCCCACGTCAGAGCCCCTGGGGCTGAGCCCCCACTTCGCTGCCTGCTTATGGGCACCCTGAGCGGTAGCAGCTGATGGCTGCGGTACTTGGGGTCCTGCTATCCATGTGGAAGACCCAGACTGAGTTCCAGGTTCTTGGCCCCAGCCTGGCCCAGTCCCAGCTGTTACAGGGCATCTGGAAGGACATTTGTCTCTGTCTCTCTGCATTACCAATGAATAAAATGTAAATATATGTATGCATTCCATTCTCATTATCTGTAGTCACCTGAGCGCACTAGAGCATCAGAACGCGTTTCTCCCATCTAACTATAACTGAGTGCCCATTAACCAGCCCTTCCCCACCCCCGGCTCTGGCAGCCACCACCTCTGTCATTGTCTATGACTCCGACTCTCTCGGATTCTGCGTGTGAGTGAGGTGGCGCGGTGCTCGCCTCCTTGGCCCTGCCTTCCCACAGTTTTCAGGGGTGGGGTAGGGGCAGGGCAGTGGGTCCACGGGTCCTTTGCTCGGGAGACAGGAAGTCTGCTGTCTCAACCTCCCGCCCCGTTGAGCCCCACATTCCTGCCCTTGTCTCCCTGCGTGTGTCACTGGGAGGTGAAGAGAAACTCGGACATAGCGAACTGACAGGAAAAAAAATGAAGTCTCTGCGAAGTTCCGGAATCCAGCTTCTGGGTGTGGCGAGCTAGTGTTGCCATCGCAATCCGGTTCTCCTCCCGGACACAGGGCAGACTCGCCCTCCGGGCGTCTGTGGGTGGGTGGCATCTCCCAGTTGGGGGGGGCTGGCACCAGTGATGGGGGTCGCCTCCCGGCGGCGTGCAGACCCTCCAGGGTTGCTCCTGTCTGCATCTCCATTCTAGAAGCACCAGATGGGGCCTGATGGATTAGAGCAAGGCTCTGATGTAACTGACATGGACTTCTGTGGGGTGCAGCTGCTCAAATTTTGGGCTGGATGGTGGTGGCATTGTGGCACAGCTGGTTGCTCCATCACCTGTGATGCCGGCATCCCAAATGAGCACAGGTTCAAGTCCCGGCTGTTCTGCTTCTGATCCAACACCTGGGAAAGCAGCAGCAGGTGGCCCCAAGTGCTAGGGTCCCTACCACCAACAAAGGAGACCTGGATGGAGTTCTAGGTTCCCGGCTTTGGCCTGGCCCAGCCCTGACTGTCACTCCCATTTGTGGATGGAGGTTCTCTCTCTTTCTCTCTATTTCTCTAACTGTGCCTTCAAACAAATAGGTAAATTTTTAAAAATTTATTTATTTGAAAGAGTTACAGAGAGCACGAGAGAGAGAGAGAGAGAGAGAGAGAGAGAGAGAGAGAGAGAGGGAGAGTCTTCCGTCCTCTGGTTCACTCCCCAGATGATCGCAACAGCCAGGGCTGGGCCAGGCTGAAGCCAAGAGCTAGGAGATTCTTCTGGGTCTCCCACATGGGTGCAGGGCCAAGGACTTGGGCCACCCTCTGCTGCCTTCCCAGGCCAGGGAGCAGTCGGGCATCAAACCACTGCCCACACGGGATGCCTGTGTTGCAAGGTGCAGCTTTATCAGCTGTGCCACAGTGCTGGCCCCTAAATAAGTGAATCTTGAAAAAGAAATGTAAGGAGGAAAGAAACTTTGGGGCTCTTGTTGCATTGTGATCCAGCCTGGCTAATATGGTTGGTGACCCGGGGCATCTGAGTGCCTCCCTTCCGGTTCCACAGCCCGTATTAGAGACGCGTGGAGCCCTGAGTAGCTCACGCACGTCTTCCCCCTCCTCTGCTGCTCACACCTGCTGGCGGAGACCCCTCCGCCACCTGAGCCACACGCTCTGCCTGACCACACCCTGGGCATAGCGTCTTTGGGGCAGGGTGACTGCCCCTGCATCCCTACGATGCTGGTGGTGCGGCGGGGTGGGGGTGGGGGTCAGATGGCTTTAGGGCCAGAATAACCCTTGACCTCTCCACTCCCAGAGCCATGTCTGCCCCATCAACGTCTATTCCCACCGTCTGTGGGGACCCCCAGGTGCTAGCATTGAAGGAAACGTATGCCAGGCACAGCTCCCAAAAAGCTTGAGATCTCACAGCATCTCCCCCTCTACTCAGTGCCATCCCTGAGCCCCCTGTTTCACAGACAGGGCAGCACACTGCCCATGGCTTCCCCCTCCCAGCCCCAGAATCTTCTCCCGGCTCAACCAAGCCCCTTCTCTTTGCTCCAGAGGACGCGTGCATGGTGGCGGGACAGGGCCTGGGACAATTCCCGTAACCTTAGGAGAAGAGAACTCCTGTGCCACGGTGCATGAAGAAGTGCATTTGGGGGGATATCTCCCTTGCAGATCCCAGCCTCCAGATGTAGCCCAAACCATCAGATTTTGATCTCTTCTGAACAGATTCAGACTCAGAGGCGCCCCCTTGTGGCCAGCCAGGCTGCTTCAGAGGCTGGAGGCATGGGTCCCTTCCACTCCGCCCAGACTGGAGGGCCAAGACTGGTTCAGGTCTGCGGTCCCCCAGGAGGACAGGCCCAAGGCTCCATTAGAAGGCATGCCCATCCCAAAAAAAATGCTCCCAAGCCGGAGAGGGAGGGACCAGGGCGGATCATTGGAATCTGGTTTCCCAGAAAGCCAGCTTGGAAGAAGATTCACAGGGAGCCACACCTGGCTCGCTGAGGACTTCTCCCGGCTCAGGACTCTGGGCTGCCCCTGCCCTTTTTTTTTTTTTTTCTTTGAGATTTATTTATTTAAAACACAGAGCAAGAGAGAGAGGTTTTTATTTATCTGAAAGGTAAAGAGAAACGAAGATTTTCCATCTACTGGTTCACTCCCCAAATACCCACAACAGCCGGGATAGGGACAGGCTGAAGCCAGAAGCCAGAAACTCCATCTGAGTCTCCCACGTGGGTGGCAGGGACCCAAGTAGTTGGACCACCACCTGCTGCCTTTCCAGGTGTGTTATCAGGGAGCTGGATCAGACGCAGAGCAGCCGGGGCTTGCAGCCTCGCTCCCGTAAACGGCAGCTTAACCTGCTACATCACAACGCTGCTCCCCCCCAACCCCCCATATCTTTCGGTTAGTGGGGCCGGCTGGCTGGCACAGTGGCAAGCATGCCAGCCCCTTTTCCCAGGCTGGCCTTGAGCAAAATCTGCCAGTAAACAGGTGGGACAAGAAGACCTGGAAAGTCCCTTCCAGTGTCAACACTCCAGGGGCTGCTTGCCTCGTGGCTCCAGCCTCCCCACACTGCCTTCAGGGAAGCAGCTGTGAGCTCCCCAGAGAGGACCCCACAGACCATGAATGCGCCCATGGGGGAACCCTCCAGAAGGTGGTGAGTACAGGAGGAAAGCAGAGCTGGGCAGTGCTGGCGGGGCAGACAGTCAGGCAAGACCTGAGACCCAGCTGACAAGTACATCTGTCGAGGCAGGTGTTACCCATCGGGGACAGGGCAGGTGCACTGGCAGCAGATGCAAAAGCAGAGACGGCTCTAGCAGGGTGGCTACAGGAAAGGGTGGAGCCAAGTCCAAGCCCTTGAATTTGATTTTTGGGACAACCCCGTTTGGAACTCTGGGGGATTTTGTTGTCTCTATGTCCTGGGGGAGCAGGGCCTCCCTGGGGTGGCTTGAGGCGGAGGGTAGGGGGATGCCCAGCAGTGAGGCTCAGCTTCCTGTGTGGGTGGCTGCCCTGACGAGCTCGCATCCTCCCATGGGCCTCTCCTGCTCCCTGGTCCCACCCCTGGCCCAGGAGAACCAGTTCTTCAGCCCAATGAGCACTTGCCAAGAGTCATGCGTCCAGTCTTGGTCATCGGCGGGGAGTGTTGCATCCTCATGCCTGCTCCCATCCACAGCCCCCACCAGCCCCACCTCCCTCTCTCCTCCAGCCCCCACCCCCCACCCCGAAACCTCATTCCCATCCCTGATCTGAGACCTGATCAGACCCAGAACTGTCACACCAGCCTTTTTGGGGAGAGGGATTGGCTGGAGGAGAGACCAGGCTCTGACCCGGGGAGGCAGCTTCCAGGGGATGGAGGAGGTCGCGCCCATCCTGTTCTACACCCTGGTCCCCTCCTCGGTGTCCTCAGAGCTGCCTGTGCGTCGCTGCCACCTCCCCACCCCCCGGGCAGAGTGATCTGAACCACTGTTGGGCTGGATCTCTCACCCCAAATTCCTCAGGACCCTGCGTCCCCGAGGAGCCCGGGGAGGGGGGGTCATTTCCTTCACCCCTGAGCCTCCACTTGTCTGCTCCACTGCCCGGCTCCTCACCAGGTCACAGGCAGCCCCCTGGGGGCATAGACACTGAAGGTAGGGGCTGGAAAGCAGCAGCCTGGGAATATTTGCATGTTGGGGTGCAAATTTGCATCTCCAGGTTCCCAGCATCCCAGGAGAGGCATCAGGGTGTCAGAGCAGGGCCCAGGAGGGTGGGCTGACCTGCCTGGCCACTCCTGCTCTCATCCTGGGATAGCATGGTCCCTGGGGGATGAGTGAGCCTGCCCATCACCCAGAGCCAGGCAGGACCCACATCCTCAGCGTTCTCCACTCTCCCCCATCACTCCCTGTCCTCCTCCACTCTTAGCCCCGGCCAGCTCCCCTCGCTGCAACTTCACTTTCATTCCAAAGCCACTGATGACTCGGCCCCCAGCCACGATCCTGTCCTGCTGTCGAGAACCATGTTTCAAACCATGCAAGGAGATGGGGAGAAAACAGAACCAAATCGAATTCTGGACAGTCTAAGCTAGCAGGGGAAAAGGACATCATGCTGCTGTGAGAGACATTAATAGCTACATTTGGCTTTCTTTCAAAAAGTACTTAGTGAGTTAAGATTTGAAGGAAGAGGAGGAAGCAGTCAGGTTTAAGAGGTAGAAAGGGACATTTCTTCTCGTGTGCTCTATATAT